CAGCAATTCTCCTGCCTCTGCCTCCTGGGTGCTGGGATTACAGGCACATGCCACCATGTCCATCTAAAGAAGGTAGGGGTGCGTGTGTGTGTGTGTGTGTGTGTGCCTGTGTGTGTGTGCGTACATATGTGTGCTGTATGCATTTGGAGACCACATTTCTACCTTGGGTGTTGTTCCTCAGGGGCTGCCTACCTCATTTATTGAGACAAGGTCTCTCGGCCAGATATCAGCTTGTCTCTCCCTCCCCGGCACTGGGCTTAACGTGGCAGTTAATTCATGTGGGTGCTGGAGATGTGAGCTTAAGTACTCACTTAAGCTTGTGCAGCAGGCACTTTACTGACTGAGTCGTCTCCTGAGCTCTTTGCTGACAACGTTTTGAGAAGCCCTAATTTTCTGTAAAATTTGCTCTTACAAACAAACCCTTCCTTTGCCAGCCAGGAAGGCCAGCGCTCTAGTGAGGGTCACTTTCTTGTTGAGCAAGCTGGGCAGGGTCCAGCGTGGACTGACAGTGAACCCAGCCAGTAGCGCACACCTGGAAAGCATGTCTGTCAAGTGCTTGTGGCCTAGTGACAGAATGCTTGGTTCTCTTTCCTGTCTCACTTTCCCTTCTGAGCCTGGAGCTGGGGCCTGGCCTCCAGCAGCCCAACAAAGCCAATATTTCTTTGATATCTGTAGTTTTATCTTAAAAATTTAGGTCAGCTTTGCAGCCTGTTGCATGATACATTCTTCTTTGTTTTCTTATGGAGATATGTGAAATAACTTATTGATTAAACTGCCCAACTCAACTGGGCAGTTCTGGAAGCTTCGTGTCTGTCTGTCCTGCTGCACTGTTGCTGTGTGTCACTGGGGAGCCAGTACTATTCCAAAGTGAATCCTGGGTGGCCTGGCATTTCTGTGCCACTCGGAATTCGAACAAGGTCCTGCACTTCCTCTGCCCTGTAAAGAGGGGACCACAGAAAGGAGGGAGGTCCCTCAAAGAGTTTCCAGCGAGGCTGGGTGTAGTGATGGATACCTTTAATCCCAGGACTTGGGAGGGAGAGGCAGGAGGAAGGATCTCTTGTGAGTTTGAGGCCAGCCTGGCCTGCAAACAAATTCAGGACAGCCAGGGCTACAGGAAGAAGCCAAGCTTGAAAAACAAAAACAAAAACAAAACAACAAACAAACAAACAAACTTTCCAGCTAGTAGTCTGTTCATTCCAGGCTTGCATGGCTTGAAGCAAGAGTCAGGAAAAAACCTCCCCAGTGAGAATATTGCCATGCTTTCCTTTTCCTTTTTACAGCATTTAGGGATGGAGCTCAGGGCTATGTGTATACCAGGTAACCAGTGCATCGTCACTGAGCTGTACATCAAAGTTACTGACTTTCTGAGTTTTCATTTTGATGGCATTACAATAAAGATGGGCATGCAAATTCTAAAGAACCACCACGCTGGCCCCAGAAACCGAGCTCTACTATCGAGTGAATGGGAGCTCAAATTTCCTGGGCTGAGGAGAAAAGATCTAAGTGTGACTTCACCCCAAAGCAATACATTTGTGCCCACTGAGGGTAAAATGCATGCTGCCTTACCAACTCGTCCCCAGTGTTGCCGTTAGAGTAAGGTGAGGCTCACAGTACAGCACATCTATTTAGAAAGACAGACTCCAAACACCTGCCCCACTCAGGCTCCATCTGTCAGTGTGCAAAGGGAGACAGATAATTGCAGCAAATCTGGGGGGGCGTAATGTATGCACACATATATGTAAATATATGCATATATATATATGCATATATTGGAGATAAGCAGCAACAGAGGTGCTGTTAGCGCTGTGTAGGTACACTCTTAGTTTGGTAGTTGTGCAGCAGCTTCTAGAGGTGTTTATATTTAAAAAAATACTTATTTATATTTATGCAGGTATTTTGCCTGCATGTATGTCTGTTTACCACATGTGTGCCTGGTGCCCTGGGAAGCAAGAAGATGGCATTGGATCCCCTTGAAGTGGAGCTACAGAAGATTGTTAGTGGCTGTCTGGATGCTGGAAATCAAACTCAATTCCCCCGTATTAAAGGCGTGTGTCACCACACCAGGCTCAGTCAGTGCTCTTAACTGCTGGGCCATGTCTCCAGCTCCAAGGCACTTATATCTTATTTCCATTATAGCTACAAGGAGGACATTTGTGCCTGGTTTGTTTATATACATATTATACATTGGCCACAATTAAAATAATGTAAGTCTAAATACTAGGGGTCTACGAGAATTTTGTTATCTGTAGGCGGGTGCAAACTCAAATTTGAACAGCCATTTTTATTCAAGAAGGTGATAAGAAATTAACAACAGAGAGCTATGGAAACATCATAATGGTCCCTCAAATGCTTCAGCGTAGGGGCAGGAGTTATAGCTGGGTGTGAAGAAATGCCTGCTGTGAAAGCAAGAGGGCCTGAGTTCAGCCTCACCAGACTCTGCACAGCAATCGTGCATGGCCTTCAGTGCCTGTAACCCCGGCACTGTGGGATGGAAAGGAGCAGATCCTAAGGGCTCACTGGGCTCCAACTTAGCCAAAGTGGATGCGCTCCAGTATCAATGGGAAGCACTGTCTCAACAAGCAAGATGGAGAGGGATAGAGGAAGATATCCGATGTCATCCTCTGGCCTCTACATAATGTGGAATCACCACATGATCCAATGATTCTAAGTGAAGGCCGGGACTGTAACAGGTATTTGCACACTTTTAAACTTTAAACATTATTGTTATTGTTGTGTGTGCTTTCGCATGTGTGTGCCCCAGTGCCCATGTGAATGTCAGAGGACAAGTCTGTAGAGTTGATTCTCTGCTCCCACTTTCTGTGGGCTCCAGGGATTGGATTTCTAAGGTTACCTTACCAAGCTTATGTGTCAAGCTCCTTTACCTGCTGAACCATCTTATCAGCCCTTGTTTTACAGAAATTTATATTATTGTTGTTGTTGTTATTGGAAACAGGGTTTCTCTGTGTAGCCTTGGCTGTCCTGGAACTCACTCTGTAGACCAGGATGACCTCAAACTCAAAGAGATCTGCTTTCAAACTGCTGGGGTTAAAGGCATGTGCCACTACCACCCGGCTTATTTTACTTATTTATCTATTCATCTAATTATTTATTTATTGAGACAGAATTTGTCTGTCTGTTCTGGCTGTTCTGGACCAGGCTGGTCTCAAACTCACAAATTCACCTGCCTCTGCCTCTTGTGTGCTGGGATTAAAAGTGTGTACCACCAACTGCCCACCATAAGATTTACTGTTTTATTTTATTTTAAAATGTATGTGTGTGTGTGTGTGTGTGTGTGTGTGTGTGTGTGTGTGCAAGTCTCAGCACATGGATGCAAGGGGCATGAAATCCCCTGGAATTACAGGTAATTCTGAGCTGTCCAACATGGATGCTAAGAACTGAACTTCTATCCTCTGCAAGACCAGTACATACTCTTGACTGCCGAGCCATCTCTCCAGCACATCTCTCCTTACTGTATTTGAGTTTTATTTTGTAGCCCAGACCAGCCTGGAACTCAGCACATAGTACAGACTAGCCTAGGACTCTTGGCAATCTGCCTGCCTCAGCCTCCCACATGCTGGGATATTAGGTGTGAATGATGTACCCTTTGGACCTTTTGGATAGACCATAAGGGCACTATTAAGTGAAATAAGCCAGTCAGAAAAGGATAACAGTATGACTCCAGTTATGTGCGGTATCTAGGAGTCAATGTGCAGAGACAGAAGGTTGAATGGAGAATTGCATTTGTGTGTATGGAATTTCAGTTGCATAAAAAAGCTTTGTGGACAGCCAGGGATGGCTGTGTGACAACGTTCCCAATGCCACGGAGCTGCATTGGAAGCAGCTAAGATGGCACAGTACAGCAGTGCTATGTGGCACAGTAAACACAGGGATGGGATTGTAGCAAGTCCACGTTCACAGCGGCCTGAGCGCAGTCCAACCTTCAGCTCTCTAGGATCATTAAAGGCTACTACAAGCCTCCAAGGTGAGTGCTTTCAGCCTTCTAGAACCTTCTGCAGGGCTCTCCAAATCAGCATCCAGAGGGTTCTGGGGGCGGGGAACCAGCGAATCTGCTATTCTTTCTAAATAGAAGCCCCTGACCCCTGTCCAGGCCGATTTGCTGGGGTAGGACATAAGCATGCAGAGGCTTTGAACAGATGCCACAGGGCACTATGACATTGTGAATGATTAACACTGAGGCTCTGAAGCAGCAGAGGATGTGGCACTCTAAAATGTCCCATGAACAACAGGACTCTCGTCAAATACACTTTGGAAACACTGGGTTAAATGTCATCAAGCATTTGATGCACCTTGTTCTTTCTCTTCCATTGCCGGTGTGTTCACATACCCAGGGGACATGGAAGGCTCTTCATGCAAGATTAACCCAATAGATTTTACCACAGAAGACGTTCTCAGGTCACACTGAGAGGGAGATGTTCCATAAACACACTTTGGCACACTCTTATTTTATGAACGATGATAAAATGGGAGGGGCCATAAATGCTGGGCCAGAGGGTGGCAAATGCCCTTGGGTTTCCTCCCAAGACTCCGCCTTTGAGAAATTGATAAATACCTCTTGTGGACAGAGAACCTGGGCAGTCCTGAAGCGCCACCATGGCTACACGCTTTCCCTGCACTCTCGTTCACCTGAAGACAGTTTGAATAAGAGCAAGACTCTCTGGCCACGTGATGTTTCTAATCTCTAGACGGAACCGAGATGCCGCCCAAATAGAAGGTGGCTTTCCTCTGTGGGTTTGCCTTTCTCTTTCTTCTTCCTCTCCCTCTCTTTCATTCTTTCCTGACATCATATTTAACAGACTGAAAGTTTGCCAAGGCCCAGAAAGGAGTCACCCCTGTTTCTGGGCAGCTTCCATTTATTTCTATTCTTCAGATGCAAAAATCTCAAGTCCAGACACCAGGGCATGAAGCCATACATCTCCTTTAGCCAGGAAAAAAAAAAAAAAAAAAAAAAAAAATCCACAAACACTCCGCCTTTACAACGAAGCTTGAAACCAGTCAAGCATTTTATTATTTTAAAAAGAAATGTCTAATGGTATACAGTCTCTACATGCTACTGCTAGGTGTTCATCCCCCGCCCCCTCACATTAAACACTCACGGGAGACAAAAGCCACCACCAGGATCTGTCAGTTGGCCTAGGGGGTGTGAGAAGGGCTGAGAACCCGGGGGTCCCCAGCACCATCTGTGGGCACACACCCCCACGCAATGGGCGGTGCTGCCTAGAGCCCACTGTTCTTGGAGGGATATCAGAAGCAACCTAGCTCCGCAGTGGCCCTGAAACAGGAACCATGTATGGCTAAGGTGACCACAGTTTATCACACTCCTGGATAAGAGAGGTGTAACTAATAGTTACAGGGTACAAAGGCATTGCGGGCGTAATACAGACATCTCCGTTGCATTAGAACTGCTTATTGCTGTAGTAAGCCTGGTGGGGCACCTTTACTCTTAAAAAGCATCGAAGTGAGAGTGAAGGCCACTGGCGATGGCACCGGCTCTGCTCTTTTGAAGCATGAAAGCTAAGCCCTTGTTCTGAGTGGAGTAAAGGGGCTTCCTTCGGGGAGGAGAGTGGAGATGAGGAGGACGATGGAACACTCACATATGTAGGGGCTTGGTACCTCAACTAGATAGCACCGGAGACCAGGCGTCACCCCCCAGAGCAGGGAGAGCTGGCCTGTGGGAAGGTTGTTCAGAAGGTGGCCTATGAGCAGGCGTGAAGTATGAACCATTGTCTTTAACTGTGTAGTCCTGTTTGGGGTCAGGTCAGCTCAGCTGCTGGGACCTTAGCAAGTCGGGAGCAATTCTCCCAGGCAAAGGCAAAGCCTTTGGCCATGATACAAATTAACTTCCTACCTGTTCAGCCCATACCTCTCTGGCCTCAGGGACTCTTTGGTCTGTGGTAGGATACAGCTGTCTGTAGTACACAGAAAAAGCCTGAAGGAAAGTTTAGACAGCCAGCGAAGGGGCCGAGACTGCCACGCGGTTCAGAGAAATGGCAACCGCAGGCTCAATGGAAGGCCAGGAGCTAAGCCATTAATGTCCTTGTGTATCTGGGATGCTCGGGGTGGAGCCTGGGACACCATACCTTCAGGCCAGTGCTTTCTGGCTGCCCTGCACCTCCAGCGGGCAGCTTTTAGAGGGTAGGGGCAATTTCTTCCTCTCAATTTGGTGATAAAGACTGTCCTTAAGTCTTGCAGAGATTTGGCACCTGTTCTTTCCTGAGGCACATGTGTCCCCCACTTTCCACCCACTACCCAAGTCCCCAGTGGGTTCAGAAACAGTTTAAGGTCAAGAACTGTGCCACAGAAATCAACTCTATGGGGCAGCCTGGTGGCAGAGGCTGAAAATGGCTGTGAAAGCCTAGTATGGCTCTAGCCAGTTCCTGGCAGAATGTGAAGTAGCTGGAGTGCAATCCTGCCCTGGCCTCAGCTTGGGGCCATGGTATAAACACAAATGCCCAAGAGTGATTCTGGCCAGAAAATATAAGCAAGGTCTCATTCTACCAACTGGCCACTTACAAGGCCAGGTTTCCAGGGCTCAGGGCACTATACCTGCTCTCGGGTAGAAACAAGGCAGCCACAGAGCCAGAAAGCAGGGCCCATCCGGCCTGTGACCAATGTTTGGCCAGGAGATTGTGAAAGGGGCTGTACACATTTCTGGACAAGGTGGGATGTGACTATACTCTCCATGCCACCACTTCCTCATTACATACTGGGGTGGCCCTTGCCATCTCACAGCGTCGATGTGAAGGTTAGTTAAGGGGGTGAGGGGCAGGTTTGCATTGGCGATCTGCTCTCTGACTGTCCCAGACATTGCTCCCGTGGCTTTGGAAAATTTCCAAGGCAGGGATGGAGAAGAGCCTGGCATACACTCTGCCCCAGAGGAGTGATAAAAAGCTAAGTCCCAGGCAAGGGAAGCTGGGTAAGTGACCGCCTTCTACAGACCCACTCACTTCCAGTTGCCCAGGTCAGGGATGACCACTAGGCTGACGGAGCTTGCTACGGAAAATTTCAGGCTGTTCCTGGGACCCAAGAAAAGGACAGTGAGCAGAGAATGCACCTTGCACGCCCACAGTTCATGGCAGCACAGGATAGACAAAATGCAAATTCTCTTGGTTGCCCACAGGCCTGTCTGCTCCACCTCAGCTGACCCCACAGAGGAGGGAAGGAGGCAGATGAAGCCTCCTGTGGAGCTAGTAGGAAAAACTCAGTTCTTCAGTCAGGGGTAATGCCCCTATGCCCTAGTCTACCCAGTACCTGCGGCATAGTAGGGGCTTGCAAAAGGTTACAGAGAGCCAAATGCAAACAAAACAACAAAAAACCTTTGCCCCTTCAAAGGCTTATAAAACAGCCCATGAAAGCTATTCATGAAGCGAAGGTGTCAAAACTCAAAAAACTATGAGGCTTCTTGCATGGTGGCGGTGGTGGGGTGTGCAGCTCTGAAGCGGTGCTAAGAGGGCCCAGACTAAGTTGGAATGACCTTCAGGAGGTGCCTCAGACCCTGGTCCAGTACTCTGGTAGGGCAGGGCTGCAGGCTGAGCAGAGGAAGAGAGTAATGGTGCCACCATGGGTCAGAGGAAAGCAAACAGAGCTGGAGGGGCACGGAGAAGGGGCTGGGAAGGGGCAGGTGTGAAGAGCCCCGCTTGCATGGAATCTTTGGCACTGCAGGTAGGACTCAAGCCTCCTGGGAAAGGGAGCTTCATGGTTTTCAAACCACAGCAAAAATGAGCCATGGGGGTGAGAGGTTTCTGGGGTATGTGGAGAGAAGGACATGTGGGATGGAATGGGGTTCTGCCCTCTCAACTCCATTCCTCTTTCACAGGAAGCCTGTTCATAGGTACAAGTTGCTCTGGGCTGGGAGCTAGTTTAGCTCTGCAATAACTAAGCAGACCTTTTGAGGCCTCGGTTATCTATTGGTCAAAATAGGGAAGGGCTGCCCGGGGCTTCTCCCCGGGAGAGAGCACACAGAAAAGCAAACAGCTCTACAGGAAGCCATGGCTGCCAGGGGCAGGAGTCCGCAGGCTGGCTACTCTTGCTCTGCTTAGTTTGGCATGGACCTAGCTCCTGGTCCCTAGCCACCAGAGCCCCCTTTAAGCCACCCAGGGACACTGCCTCATCTTTCTTTATTCTCTTTCTACACCCAGGTTACCAGCCTACAGACTCTGTGCCAGCTACAAAAAATCCAGGGCATGCCCTGTCCTGGAAAAGCAGCTACGAGTCCAGGGCAGTCACTACTGTCCCTTTGATCATACCACAGGAAAAAGGCCCCAGGCTACCTGCCCCGACACCTAAATAACCTTCAGTTCTCCCCTCACTGGTTCTTGCAGGGGTAGAGCATTGGTGCTGGAATCAGGCAGGCCTAGACTCAAATGTCCTCCCACTTCCTAGCTGACGTGTCCTGGGGCCTGTAGGGCCGGAGCTTCCTCATCTAGAAAATGGGTGCGATAGAACGGAAGAGGCTTGTTGAAGGTTAGAGAACATGAAGGCAAAAGGCCAAGGGCAGTTTGGCACCTACTGGGCAAAGAAGCCCTCACAGACTGTGTGCCTTGTGAGGGGCCGCCTTATTTAAACAAACCTGGCAACTCGTTATATTGGGGGAGGTGGGCAGGAACTGGAATTTAAAAGCCCTGGATGGACCAGGGGCTTCAGCAGTGAAGTGAGGCATGCTCCGTTAGGGTGACCAGATGAATCCCCAGGACCTCTGCTGGGCGGCTGCATCTGCTCAGGACTCAGAAGCAGAAAGCCCGGGAGCTTTCTCAGCACACAGTTCTTCCCAATACTAGGCATTCTGGGAACAGGGAACAAAGCCACCATTGGGCTTCCAGAAACATGGAGAAATTAGACCGAATTGACAAGGCCGTGTGGGCTGTCCCTCTCTGCTACAGCTGAGCACTGAGGTGCGGTCTGGAAGGTCTCCAGGTGACAGCTCTCTCAGTTCTGGAGGTCAGAGAGTGTCACTGTCCTGCTTCTGGGTGGCAATACCATTGTCTAGGAGAATGGGTGCTACTATTAGACAAGGATGCTGACATGACTTCTACTTAGCAAAGGCTGTGGCTTTTGAGCCCTCAGGAGAATCAGAGGCCAGGTTACAGGACATCTCTGCACCAAGAATTCTCCACCCTGGGAGGGAGGAAGCCACAGCACCCAAATGGCTGCCTTCCTTGAAATACTGTGGAGACTGATAAATTAAGATGCATATTAAATACATGGGACAGGCTGGCAGGGACAGCGGGGTCTCTGGGTAGTGCGGGGGGGGGGGACAGAGGGGCAGAGGAAAGCTAGGGTTTCTTCCGGAGGTAGTTGGAAGGAATCCAGCCTTCCCAGGAAGACGCCCCGCTGAGGACCTGACAGAACCACCAGCCACTGCTGTTCTTCTCCCGGACTTCGAACACTGTCCCTTCCTGGAAGCTGCTGGTGTCTTCATCGCCTTCAAAATTGGCCACAGCCACATACAGTGAGTCCTTAGGGCCATCAGCATTGAGGGAGGAGACTGCTTTCTCTCTGTTGTCTCCCACCTTGCCGGCCACGCGTGGCCCCAGCCCACCTTTGCCTCGAATGTCATCTTGGCCCATGGAGGAGTTGGAGAGGAAGGGCTTGGCCTTTGGAGGGACAAGGAGGGCCCGGCCTGTGGCAGGAACGGCTCTGTTTTCTTCACGGTGTGGTCCCCTGACCTCTGGGAGGGGCCTGCACGACAATGGTGATGAGGAGGTTTTCTTGGGGGGTGGGGGTCTCCGAGGTGGGACCACAGGTCTTTGCTGGGTGGCTTCTTGGATGGGCACAGGCGCATTCTTGGGCCCAGGGTCTATGGTCTTGGCTGGCCTGGGAGGGGCTCTGCACGGTGTCTCCTTTGGACTCAGCCCGTCCTGTCTGCCAGACCTGTCCTGGCCACGGCCAGGTCCTTCCCCGGGAAGGAAGCTTCGGCTGAGGGGTGTGTCATGACCCCCAGCAGCATGGTGGCTTTCTCCATCCACTATGGTTTTCTCCTGGGACTTGGCAGGTCTGAGCTTGCTCCTGAGGTGATAGATGTCTACTTGGTCTTCACCCTGAGCTGGCTCTGCTTTGGGGGAAGGAGTGGGTTTGGGCCTAACCTGAGGTCTAGACTTCAAGAACAGATTCTGGGGGGTGGCTTCCACCTTCTCCTCGGGCAGCTCGGCTTTGGACCTAGTGATGGGTCGGAGGTTGGGCTTCTTCACTTCCTTGGCCAACACCTTGTGGCCACACTCTAGCCCCATGTCATTTCTCAGCGGGAACTTGCTTTTGTCAGGTTTGGGCTCTGGTTTCCTGCTGTCCCGGGCCAGCGGGGCATGCTTGGCTGGAATCATTGGCAAAATCATGCCAGGGGGTTTGGGGGAGGAGCCCCGGGACAGCTCCATCTTCTGTCTCTCCCTCTCCAGCAGCTCCTCCTCGGACTTGATGATGGACTCTTTGCGTGGAGGGAGGCTGGGCTTCTCCTCCTGTGTGGGGTCTGAGATCTCCTCGTAGCCTGCTGACGCAGACAGGTCTGAAGATACCTTTCTTGGTGCCTCCTTTCCTCCTTTCCAGTCTTTGGACCACAGCATCCCAGAGTCCATAGCACCATGTGGTGCTTCTGGCAGTGGTCTGGAGGGCCCCACCACTTCTGGACCCGTATTGTTCTCCACAGCAGTGGCATCCCCAAGCCGGAGCTGATTCATCTCATGGGGCAAGGGAGCCAGGAAGTTGGGCCTTGAGGCACTGCTGGTCTTCTTGTATTTGTCAATGAAGGTTGCTGGGGCCCATCCCTCCTTATCTTCCATCTGAATGTACCACCAACCACTTAGGCTCTTCTCAATCACCTAGGAAGGGGACAGGAAACACACTCAGTAGGTCTGTTACCACAGCCTGGGGCCCATGATTTCTTAAAGAATCCACATGAAACAGGTACCCTGGAAGCTGTACCTGTTTCTGACTCTGCAAATTCTCCTACAAGGTCCATACTAGACCAGCGTGGTGGTTTAAATGAGAATGATTTCCAAGGCTCATTATGTTTGAATACCTGATTCCCAGTAGGTGGAACTGTTTGGGAAAGATTAGGAGGTGTGGCCTTGCTGAAGGAAGTGTGTCATTGGGGGTGAACTTTGAGGTTTCAAAAGACTTCTCTTTCATTTCCAGCCTCTCTCACTCTCTCTCTTTCTCTCTCTCTGTCTCCTGCTTGTGGACCAAGAAGTGAGCTCTCAGCTGTTTCTCCCATTATGCTTTTGTTCTCCCTTCATGGACTCTGAAACTGTAAGACCAACTAAAGGCTTTATTTTATACAGTACCTTGATCATGATGTTTTGACATAGCAACAGAAAAGTAGCTAAGACAACCATGGATACTGTGCCAGGACCCACTGTACCACTGAACCCACCTCAGTGAAAGTGGGTTTTTGGCTATGTTGTTTTTTGAGATAGGGGGATAGATACTGCCCAGGCTAGCTTCTAATTCCTGGCTCAAGCCGTCCTCTTGCCTCAAGCACCCGAAAAGCTGGGATTACAAGCATACACTGCCATACCCACTCTTGGATGATGACAAGGACCCTTTGAGGGATGTTCCTGACAGTGCCTCAGAAGGCACCTTTAGGGGAGGGTTACCTGTTGATATCCTGTCCCAGAATTCACCCAGAGCTTTACCTCCCTTCCCCCTCCTGTGACATGGGAAGCCACAGAAATCCACATGTAGCACAGGCCAACTTAAGAGGACCTGGCCAGTACCACCAGCTGCAATGCCAAAGAAGGACAAGGCAAAAGCTACAGAGAGGGAGAATGACCCTTAGTCCTGGACTAGAGGAGCTGTCTGGTATTTATAGCAGGTACACCATATAAAAAAATAGGATTTTTTTTTTTTTAATTTTGTTTTTGTTTGAGAAAGGGTTTCTCTGTGTATCCATCCCTGGCTGTTCTGGAACTCACTCTGTAGACCAGGCTAGACTTGAACCCATAGAGATCCACCTGCCTCTGTCTTCCTAGTTCTGAGATTAAAGGCATGTGCCACCACTGCCTGGCTGAGAAACAGAAATCTTTAAACACAGGAGTCACCCTTAGGTCAATGCTATGCTTACATTCAGAGAATGGAGGCTGGTGGAATAAAGTAAGTTTCATCTCTTATCTCCATCTCTTCCTGGCACCTGTACACATTGAATTGACTGCTGGGAGAATTGGAGATGTTATTTAAGATAAGAGGTCTCCTGTGTCTTTTGGGCCCAGTATCATCCAAGTGGATTATTTGAGATGAATGGTACACAAACTGTGCGTTAGAGGCTGAAGTGTGCCCCCAAGTCCATACATGAAGCATTCCCCTTCGGGACCTCAAATGTCCTTGCATCTAGACAGGCCTTAAAGAGGTATCTAGGTGGAGATGGGTCATAAGAGCAGGCCTTTGTTTACCAAAGTGACCTCTTCAAAGGAAGAGATTTGGAAATTCAGAGTGAGGGAGTATGTGTGAGGACATGACAAGAAGGTGGCTATCTGCAGGCCAAGGCAAGAAGCCACAGGAGATGCCAGCCGTGCCACACCTTGATCTCGGACTTTCAGCTCCAGTGCCACAAGAAGGTAAATCACCGTGTTTAATCTAGCCCGTCTTGGGGATTTTGGTATATGGCAGTCCTAGAAAACTAACACCTGCAACTCTCCAGCAGGTTCTGTGCACAGGAAGCCTAATGGTGCTGCCTCCCTGCGATCCAGGGACTGTCATCCCATTCTACAAATGCAGAGTGCAGGAGAGCTGAGGATTGGGAAGAGGGTTCTGAGGAAGGTGAAAATGGCAGAGGGCAGGAATCTGGGCTCTGAGCACTGCCAGACTGTGCCCCTCAGGAAGAGCCATGCCTGGCCTGAGAAACTGCTTAGGAGCCATAAGGACTGATGCCTGGCAGAAGGGATAACAGCTACAGAGTCAGCACCAGCAGACCCACCTTTGGGGCCTATAGTCCTGGGTTTTAGCTCGGAGCTTCACCATTTGAATGACGATAGCAGCAGTAAGACCCAATGGCAAGGTTTGCTAATGCCGCAACAAGCAAAAGTGCAACATCTTCATCAAGGCATGTAACTGCGCTTAGCAGGTGCTACATTAGTGGATCAGAGGGAAGGTTGCCAAAAAGAGGGTGTGCTGGACAGGCAGATCTAGCAGGACTGACAAACAGGTGGCCAGCCAGTCTATTTATTATAACACTCAGCAGTACAGGGTACAGTTAATGGCATGAGTTAATGGCATGTATGCCTTCATGAGCAGTTCAACTCCAACACGAAGGCAGCATGGAAAACAGGACAATAATGAAGTTATCAGTGTGGCTGATACTGACACTGAAGGGAAAGGATGGTGGCAGAAACTCTGGCAAAACTTTGGATTTTTGTTTGTTTTTTCCTTTGAGACAGGGTCTTACTATGTAGCCTGGGCTGGCCAGGAGCTTTCTATGGAAACAAGGCTGCCTGAAGCTCACTGAGGCTGGACTGCTTCTGCTTACAGAATGCAGGGATAAGAGGCATGTATACCCCACACCCGTCTCCCATTTGGGTCCCTAATCATGATTTTGTTTGTAGAGAGAAGCCACATGCTACGAGGAGAGAAACAAATGCAGGGTTGCAAGAAGGAGAGAAAAGAAAAAAGCCTGGGCTTTAAAACCAGACAGACTGCAGTTCAAATCTCTGCTCCACCACTTACTAGCTGTACCCCTAGACAAGCATTTGCCTTCTCCCTCGGAGCCTCATCTGTAGGACAGGCTGATACTGCCCTCCTGGCCTCCCATTAGGCTTAGCCATCAAGTAGATAAGGCTCCAAAAAGGTGCCTGTACCATCATCCCCGTCACCACTGCTACCCCACAGACACCTGAAAACATGTTTGAAAGATGAATAGTGCAGACAGCGAGCTGAGACTCATTGTAGCCTGACTGCCAGAAGCCTCAGGAAGTATCAATGAGAGAGGAGGCCTAAGATGACAAAGATATGAACCAGGAAGCAAAAGAAAACAAAAGCAAAAGGAAAACTCATGACCCCAAAGAACACTGATTAAGCCCCAAGCTTTGGTGGCAATCATTCCCTCAAAAACCCACCGGTGGGGTCTCTCAACATCACGGAGAACAGGACCTAGGATGGAGGCCAGCCAGGCTGGCTGTTTGTGTGGTATCATCCTAGTTACCCCACAGTTACATGCTTGCTCCTGCCCCCACCTCCCTCAGGGCCACCCAATGTCTCTTACCCTCGTGGAACTCTATGCCCTCTGAGAAACTGTGAGAAGTCACCTAAGGACCCACCCCTCCCCCCTGCTTCCTTCTAGCTGAGCTGCAGAGCTACAGCTTTCTTTCCTAGAATATGCTGCATAAAGAAAAGACAACTGTCCATTCCGTCTTGAAACCAGAAGCCCACACTATAGGCTATGAAGGGCTTCTTCCACAGAGAGCTGGCCTCCATCCTAGGTCCTGTTCTCCTAGAAGACTTTAGGTACCAACTGTGAAGATGCAGGCTGGAGTCACAGAGACGTGACACTGCTCTGTGGCTGGCTCAGAAATCTCTACAAGCCAATTAACATCCTGTGTGCATTTCCATGGACAGTGACTCACAGCTGCCTTGTCTTCTACTTCATCCTGTGAGACCCAGGGTGTCACAGGTGCTCAGCCCTGGCCTCTGCAGCCTAAACAGGTACTAACACCATGGAATAATTGCAATAAATATCAGTAATAACACGAAGACTGACAACTGAGGAAAAAGATATAGTCAATGATAACAGGACTGTAAGTTAAACCACCATCCTTAGACAGATAGAGAAGAACATCAAATTAATCAAAGGCTAGGTGAAACAAGAACTGGGAGCTATGAAAAATAATCAAGAGTGCATGGAAATGAACACTGTAATTGTTGAACGAAAACGAGGAACAGCTGAAGAGCAAATTAATGAACTGAGAGACGGAACAAGAAGTCTTATTCATCTTTCTGTGGTCAATATATCATCTTAGATTGTTCATAATAGCTACCATCTATAGACAGATGAGTCAGTAAACAGGTAGGTAGGTTGAAGTTATATCATATTGTTTTGGGGAGAAACTGACAAGCCAAAAAGTCTCTACATGTTCCACAGAGATATAATTCCTCCCTCTCCCTGAGACAGAGTTTCTCTGTGTAACCTTGTCTGTCCTGGAACTTGCTCTCTAGACCAGGCTGGCCTCGAACTCAGAGATCCACCTGCCTTGCCTTCTGAGTGCTGGGATCAAAGGTGTGTGCCACCACCACCCACTAATCTTTTTTTTTGTGTGTGGTTTTGCTCATCAAAATCACAGATATGATCCCAGGAACATGAGGAGTGACTGGATTATAGGTATCACAGAGATGAGCAGATTTAATTTCTGCCTCCTGAAGTAGGGTAGGAAGCATCTGGCCAAAGTTTACTCATGACGAGCAGAAGTAGGGGTGCTGGTGGCCAGATCACCTGGTTCTGTCAGGAGGCATCTTTGCTAGATTTCACATCTCTGCTCTTAGCTGCTATCCTGTTACCTACAGGCTTTCAGGAGAGCATGAGAAACATCTTTCACCTCTGTGCTTGTGAAGACAAAAGATAACACATGAGAAGAGAAAGAACTTATCTTGGTTATCCAGGGATCAGAGTGCACATGCAGAGAACAGAGGGAAAGAACAGAAGAGAGGTGGGAGGCAGGAGGTAACAGAAAAAGGATCATAGGATCAGGAGATGGTTTCATGTAAAACTAAAGACCTGAGCTTGATCCTTGGACCCATGGTGTCTCAGGTCTGTAATCCAAGCCCCAGCACTCCTATGACAAGATGGGAGGTAGGGGCAGGAGAATTGGCTGGAAGCTCATATAGAGTGTAGCAGCAGAAATAGCGAGAGACTCTGACTCAAAAACAAGGAGAAAGAACCGATTCATGGAACAATTGTCCTATGACCTCCTCATGCAGTGAATGCCATGAACACATACACAATAAATACATCTTCTTAAAAAGTAAGAGAGGGGCTGGAGAGATGGCTCAGTGGCTGAGAGCACTGGCTGTTTTACCAGAGGACCTAGATTTAGTCCCAGCACCCACAGGGCAGCTCACAACAGTCTGAAGCTCCAGTTTCCAGGAACCTGACATGCTCTTCTAGCTTTCACAGACACTGGACACATGTGATACACAGACATACACACAGACAAAATGCCCATACACATAAACATAAATAAAATTTTAAAAAGAGAAGGAAATACAAGCCAGCCACATGGGGCCATATAGTATATAATTTCACTTCTAGTCAGTAGGTTGAAGGTGGGGGAGGGGTTGGTGCAAAAAGGTCAGTGCTGGCTGATGGGACAGGGTTCCTGCTAAGGGCTTTGGAACCAGAGTGGGGTGATAGTTACACAGCTCTGAATAAAAGAAACCACTGACTTGTACACTCAAATTGGCCAATAGTTTGGTGTGTGATTACAAAGATTCTGAAGAGGTTAATAAAGCCATTAACCTCATCTCCCCTGTCCCACAGAAGGAGGTAAGATGAGGAAGGCAATGCCTAGAATGAAGAATGACAGCAGGTATGCTCACCTCAACCTTCAGGCCTGCCTGGAAGCTGATGCCATCTGGGATGGTGGTCTGGAACTCGGCAATGGTGTAATACTCTTCCTCCACCTGGGGCGGGATGGGTGGCTTGGGCAGGTTGAGGCCTCGAGGCTGGCAGGATTACACACAGGGCTGATTGAGTCAGGCTGGCATGAAGGGACTAGGGAATACAACATCAAGGTGCTGGGAAGCCTAACTGGCTTCTGAAGGGCAAAACAAAAAGGACTTGACTGTCACCTAGATGAAGTCTCCCTGGCCCTTCGAACTTTACAGTAACCAGCAACAGGAGACTTCCGGGCACATCGTGAGAACTTGGGAAAACATAAAAGTGTCTGAAGGTAAGAGGCAGAGAGGCTGTGGGAAGACCCCAGGCCTTTGGAACAGACCCAGGTAGGCTGGAATGCTGACGAAGGGCCATGCCAAGCCCCTGCTTCATCCCTTGTATAACTCATCCTAACACTACTGACCTGGCACTCCTTGCTATGATGATTAAATACGTTACTGAGTAAAGCACCACTTTATGGTACTGGACCGGTACCCAAGAAATGGCAGCTGTTTTCAAAAAGCCCCCTTCCAAAGCAATCCCCATTTCCTAATTGCTTGTGTTGCTAGTGTTTTAAAGTTTGAATATTTGTATACACAGTGAACCATCCTGGAGACAGGATCCAAGTTCAAATACAAAATACACTTATGCTCCACATATATTTAGCCCAAATAGAACATTTTAGGGTATTTTTAGTGCATCTGTGTTTTGACTGTGATCTGTCATGTGAGGTCAGGTGTGGAATTTTCTTTCCACTTTTGGTGTCATGTTGGTGTTCAAACTATCAAGATTTTGAAGCATTTTGCATTTTTGGATTAAGGATGCTCAACCTATATTGGTTAAAAAGGTACCTATAGGCAGACGTGGTGGTGAAAACCTTTTCTCCCAGAACTCAAGAGGCAGAGACAGGTGAGTCTCTGTGACTTTGAGGAGAGCCCTAGGCTAACCAGGGATACATAGCGAGACTCTGTCTATATATAAATAAGTAAATGAATGAATAAATAAACAGACCTATAGAGTTAAAAGTGGGTCAGAATGTCACCTCAGGCACACCTGTGCCTCATTCAGCTTGGGCCTGCTTGGGAAGCACTGGAATATGTGAGGTCTGGTGGGTGACCCAGATAGGGCCCAGGCCGAGGAAGTGGGTGAGGCCTCAGGGCCCCAGGGAGTGCACTTACGATGGTCATGTCCCGGCGAGGAGGGGGTCTTTGCCTCATCTTTGGTGATCCTACGGGGAAACAAGACTTCATTCACATACAGAGTTCCACAGACAGGTTGCCAGCGGTGGGAGCCAGGTGGGGTCTCACCCCTCCCGCTGTCCATCAGATTTTCTATGCGTCTCTGTGAGAACAGCCTGGCTGTGCTCTCCTCATGCTTGGATCAGGACCCTCCACCAACATGGCCTTCCCTGGATCGTTTTTATACGGGAACAACAGATGAACGGCACCGATCCTCAAGTGCTGGGAGACTATCCATGCAGGGCTAAGAGCATGGCCTCAGAGCTATACAGGGCTGGGACTGGCACAGGACAAATTTACTGTCTGACTCTGGGCCATCAGTCCTTTTCTTTGGAACAGCCTAATGCATACCCATCCCTGGCAAGTGGGGTAACGTGAACTACCTATTTCTTCATCTTCTATAATATTAGAAAAATACGGCAGAGTCTTAGCCAAGACATTTAGTGCCTCTGTAAGGACTACCGTTTCTAGACTTCCTGGCAGCTTGGTGTTGCCGTGTGACTGAGTCCAGCGAGGGAAGGTGGGGCATTTGAGTTGTTTCACTTCTCCCTGCCTTTCACTGGACAGACAGTGATGGGCCACACTGGACGATGAGGGCAATGCAGGACAGGTGTAGGAGGCCAAGATCTTTGACTGCGTGGAAATATCATCTCGGCTTAGACACAAAATTGGTCTATTGTATAGAATGGAAATGAGTCTCCAGATCAAATGAGCCACTGTTATTAGCTGTGTGTGTGTGTGTGTGTGTGTGTGTGTGTGTGTGTGTGTGTGTGCACGCGCGCACGCACATGTCCATGTGTTTGTATATGAGTACATGTGTATGTCAGGGAGGAAACTTTGATTTTACATCTGAACATCTTGACAAAGTTACACTACTTCAGACTTTAGTTCGGTACCCTACTTTTAGTGGACTATACCCTTAACCATGAGAGACTAGAATCACAGATCCTGGGGCTTGTCAGAACCGCTACTGTGGCCTGCAGCACCCATGAAGCTCTTGGCATTTAGGATGATGCAAAGCATGAGGGCACTGCCCTCGCCTGTGGGGAGCTGGAGTCTGTTCTCCACAGACTCTCACTGCCTTCAGGACCACCACAGGATGCTGGGCACTGTGTCGGGGCCATAGTTCCAGGTACAATGCAGACAAACTATGAGTTACCCTGCTCTGGGGGTGTGGGGGATACTAGAAGTAAAATATATTTAGGGAAGCGTTGGAAAGCAAAATGGGTGAAACACTGTGGTGGGAGCAAATGCAATCTGGGGTCAACTTTTCTCTCTCTGGTTCATACATGAAGCCATGGAGAAGACTGGAGGGCACAGGCCTTAGTGGTCTTGGTGAGTTACCCAAGGTCCCCCAAGCTTTTGTTTTTATCTTCAGGGTATCAGCAGACGGCAGGGGATGTTGCAGGGAGGAAGGGAGGCACTCTAAGCTCAGATAGGCCTCAGCCGTCTGGAGCAAGGGTGGGTGTCACTCACTCTGCTTAACGTCACCATCTGGCACCAGGCGACCTTCAAACCGGCAATCCCTCTGGTTGTTGAGCGGCTCTTTCTCCCTGCCCACAGTATTCTGCTGCCGGGAAACACCATCCAGGTCGAGGGCCCCTGAGTGAGCAGAGGAGCTGGGGCCCAGCTTTTGGGGCAAGGGCTCCCCGCTGCTCTTCTTTAGGTAGGAAGCAGGGGCCCAGCCCTCTTTGCCCTGGAACCTGGGAAGAAGGTGAAGGATTCCAGTCAGGTTGGTCTGTGGGGCCTTGGAGTTGGCAGGGGGACGATAAGGGGGAAGCCATGCTTCTATATGTCAGGTTCAGGATGGCAGGACAGTGAATTCTGACTGTCTGACTGGGCCAAAGGCTACCTAATAATGCCTAATCCTTCAGCTTGGCCTTCCAGGCCCTCCTCCCCGGTCTCCACTTGCCTTTCTCAACAACCACTGTGTCTCACATGCCCCTTCTACTTGCAGTTTCCCAAAGGCACCACTGCTTGTCACCTCCCCACGGCGATGTTCTTGGTGGCTCTCTACCTGGCAAGCCCCCCCCAACCCCGGTGGCACCTGCTCCCCTTCTCAGGTTTAACATAATGTCATTCAGCCTTCTTCTGACCCTCAAATGAGGCCCAAGCTCCCCAGTGGCTCTCTGGCTTCTGCACACTGCAATCCCAATGCCTGCAGAGTTCACCTGCAGAGCGGGTTTCCTGTCTCCTAGTTAGAACATGAGCCCTTGGGCACAAGTAACTGGGTACTGGTGGATTTAATGAAGAAACAAGAGGCCAAGTGGACAAGCTGCCAATGGGCGTATCACATCATGGGCGAACAGCAGGAAAGCTCTGTGTCAGAGCTGTCCCCTTATGGTACCACTGTGATGATGACAAGGGTCATGGCAGTGAGAGCCAGCACTCTTGGCGCCTAGTCTGTCAGTCCTGTCCTAAGCACTTTACAGCTATTAGTATGTTAGGACCCAGCTAACCTCAGCAAGACGGACTACAGGTTCACCTGTCCCCCCAACCCTCAGTCCCCAGCGAAGCTTCTTGAGCACCAATGTGACACCACAAATGGAAAATTCCACACTTTACTTCACGTGAGGGATCACAGCTGAAACACAGCTGTATTAAACTCACGCAAACTCATCTTCTGGCTGTGTGTATACAGAGTATAAGCAACACAGCGAATCTTGGGTTTACCAGTGGCCCTCCTCATCCCCAAGACATCACATGACACGTATGCAAACATCCCACGTCTCAAAGCCTTGGTCCCATGCATTCCAGGTAAGGAATTTGCAACCAGCACTGGGATCTGCTTTAAAGAAGCCTGAGACCCACCGGTGTTAAGTACCTCCCTCAAGTTTACAAGCAAGTCGGTCTGTGGCAGAAATGGACTCAGATCTCTTAACTTGTTCTTTTTGGCCCTTTCCCAGAAGCCCCTGCTCCTGGTGCAAAGCCTCCACGTTGGCTGCCACTAAGGAGTGACAGGGACTCTGAGAGACCAGCTCATTTGTCTCGTGAGCAAGTGCACACTGGCTCACGAGAGCCCTCTGCAAGGATACCTTTTGAACTCCACATTTAGTGGCATCACATTGGTGGCCTGAAAGTGGTCACAGGACAGGTATTTACACCATGGAATCTCCGCTAACCCCACCAGGAGCTACTAGTACCTCTCCAGAGAGATGCCCACAGCTTTGGGGAAAGAGGAATAGATCCAGCTGACTAGTGATGATATATGGCAGAGCCAAATCTTGTTAAGGGCAGTGGTGGTGCACACACCTTTGGTCCCAGCCCTTGGGAGGCAGAGGCAGGCAGATCTCTGAGTTTGAGGCCAGCCTGGTCTACAGAGTGCATTCCAGGACAGTCACGGCTATGCAGAGAGGCCCCGTCTCAAAAGGAAGAAAGGAAGGAAAAAAGGAAAGAAGAAAGGAAGGGAAGAGAAAGAAAAGATAAGATAAAAAAGAACGACTTTAAAAACAAAATGGCCTGGGTTTCAGCAAAAAAGCAAGTCATTTGGAACTGGAGGCAGATTTACAAAGGAGATAGAAATCTGTTCAGTTAAGCATTTGTCAAACTTAAAAGGCCCTGTAAGAGAGACTAAGTCTTGTTCTAAGTGGAAAAAGCTAGCTGAGAATGCTAAGTGGAAAAAGCTAGCTGAGAATGCAGCACAGCCCACATCCTTGGGCCATCACTGGGCACAAAGCCACAGCACAGGCAGCACAGGCAGCACACACGAGCGTGTGAGCGGGCTCTGGGAGAGGAGGGTGTGGGCTCCGATACTTCCCAGCTTCAGACGACCCTTACTGCCTCAAAGCCTGAGTCAGGTCAAGACCCTCCTGAACTCCAGAGCCGTGTGGTTGCAGGCCACGTTATTCCGCGGTGCGGTACTGTGACAGTTACACGATGGGGCAATTTCTGAGAAATGCTTTCTTGGCTTCTGCCCTGTGCAAACACTAGCATGCTGACACAACCCTGACAGAGTGGCTTACCACAGCCAGACCCCACCCAACCACTGAGGGAGGCGCAGTCGGGTACCTGATCTTCCACCAGCCTTCCAGGTTCTTCTGGATGACCTCCACCACAGCCCCTCGTTCTAGGTTCATCTCATCCTGGTCACGAGCTGTGTATGGGTAGATGACTGTATACTTCTCCTCTGCAGGCACAAAGGGTGACGGGGTGAGGAACAGACGGGAGGAGCCGGGATGCTGGCTGTGGAATTACACGCAGGGCTCCGCTGAGCTCTATAGAGCCCTTGGCCCCTCTGACACCCTCAGCATCGTAGAATCACCCTCGGTTTCCTCCAGTCTGTGCCTCAAGGTCATGGTCCACGACTTCAAGCAATATCTGATCCACAGCATCCTCATGTCCCTTGCTCAGGTTAACGTCCGAATTCCAGGAATCACCTTCTAACTAACACAACCTTTACCAATGTCCCAAGTCTATTTCCTGTGGGGGAGTATGAGCTCCGTGAAGGCAGGGATTGGCCTAGTCCAGTCATGTCTTTGTCCCAGCACTGGACGGTGCCTGTCTGGTGATTGTTTAGGAACCGAGCCTTTATTTAGGGAAGGGGCTTGTTCTGAAGCCCCGTCCCTGGGGGTGGGGAACCTCACTCACACAATGAGGCAAGCCCTCTGGGCTCCTGCTAGCTCTGCATGGTGGAGACCAAGAGTACAGAAACAGGCTGCAACTGCCACCAAGGAAGGGTCAGAGAGCACTTCTCATTACCTAGATGGTGGCTTTTATTGGCTTATGTTGCAGGCCTCCTCCAACTGTGCTTATTGCCTGCATGGCTGGGTTGCTTCCCACCCCACTCTCCCCACAAGCAAAAGCACCGTCCTTAGAGCCCACACTCCTCCCCGAGAGCCACCTCCCGCACGGAGAGGAGAGGGCTGCTCTGAGGTTCTATTTCAGTCCACAGGTGAGCGGCTGAGCCAGCCCTGGCCTAGTGCTCATGCTTCTTGGGAAAACACTTGAGGCATCCGTTGCCAGCCAGCTGCTTCAGAGGAGGTGGCAAGCGCACAAGCGTTTATTTATTTATTGAAATGGCCTGCTGACCGCTCGCTCTGAGGGGGCTTCGCTGACTTGTGGCACACATCACATCCTGTGTTCAGCATGGTCAGCTATTTCCCCTTGTGCTGAGGCAGCAGGGATAGGAAGCAGGAAGCGATGATTCGAACGCCCTAGCACAGTAGTTTTTTATGTGGTCCAAGTGGGAAGGGGCGCCACCTGGGGCCTGAGGGCATTCAAACTCATGAGCCCTGGGTCCCTTCAGGCTCCATCTGGGAGGGTTCTCAAACTCTGGGATGCTAGAGATGCTAAGAGACTTCAGCTTGAGCTCAGGGAACAGACAAGTGGTACCTGTCTCCTGGTGGCTCGTCCGTGTGCCATGGGGGTGGCTGAGCCCCTACGTCCTAGAGGGAGTTGTGTGTGTGACCCTGGCCTAGTCACGGTACCGCAAGGCCTGGCTGCTGTCACTGGTTCAGGGATGGTACACAACGGGAGGACCTGGGGGGACAGTCCTAGGGCATGTGTTGATTTTTTTCGTGACTGCCCTGACAGGTGCCTGGGATTGGTGTCATGAGAAAAGAGCTGTGTGAACGAAACAGAACAGAAGTAGCTTTTCAGTGGTATGAGTCAGTGTTTCCCCACTTTTTTTTTTTTTTTTTTTTTTGGCAGCGTGTGCTCATGTAGCTAAAACTCAGGATCCTCTCGTCCTTGTGATAGAATTACAAATGTGAGCCACGCACCACCAATCTGGCTTTTATCTGGTTGATGTGGCTTCCTCCAGTGACTCAAACAAGTCCGGTAAAAGTAACGAGGCTGTTCAGTCACCATCATAAAAGACCTTTTCAAGCTGGGGCGCTTCAGAGCCCCGAGGCCGTCAACTACCCCAGGCCCACTCCTCCCGGTCCTGCATGCTTGCACACACAAGATTGACAAGGCCATGGCTTTCACATGCAGCAGGCATGGGCAGTCCCAGAGCAGGGAGCTCATGCAGATGCAGAAACTTGGCTCCAAGCACCAAATGCAGAGAAATCTCTGAGGGTTAGGCACCTTCACGCCAGCTGATGCCATACAAGTTCCCCAGAGTCCGGCGGCGACCCACAGAGCGGGGCAGAGAGCAGTACCTCCAGCAGACTGGTCAGGCAGCATGTGGAGGGAGGGCAGAAGGCACAGTTAAGAGGAGTGTCCTCCCAGGAGCTGCAGGCCTGGGAGCACCTAGCAGTGTTCCCCTAGGAGGGATCTACCTGAGCCTACTCTCAGCCCTAGGGATGTGCCTGAGGAATGAGCGCCTGGGGAGTGTCCAGTGGTCATTCTATTCCTAGCATGATTCTACTGTGACAACTGTCACAGAAAAGAAAAGAAAATGCCTAAGCCAGCAGAAAAATGGCCTGCCTGTCCTCTAGTTCTGTGGCCCTGGGCAAACCTCAGCCTTTCTGAGTGTGGCTCCATATCTGTGAAACGGGGCTTTAATGGTCATTTCCTTCTCGGGCTTGCCATCACAGACCGTGTAAGGAGACACAGGCTGCCTGCAGTGTGCCCCTCCCTTTGATCTGAGCTCACTCTGTGGGAGCCCGAGCTCCTGCAGGGCCACTGAAGCACAGCAAACAAACTCTATAGAGTGTTGCTGTGATACAACTAAATGCAAAGCCACATGCAATCTTTGGATGTATAAATTTTTTTTGGGGGGGGGGTGTCTTACATCCTTCTCTTTATCCACTTTTCCAAAATACTTTGATTTGTTTTTGTGCTTTCTTCGAGCCATCTGCTGAAAGCCAGCAGCCCTTAGCCCTCAGGTAGGATGAAGACATAGGCCTCACTGCTTCCATGTTTAGCAGAGAAGGCTGGAGCTTAGAGGAGGGTCCCTGGCCCAAGATAACTCCATATGTGGCAGAGGTAAGATTCACACTCAGGTCTGGCTGCCTCCCAAACACTCATGTGCTATGGCAGGAACTGACAGCCTCTACCTTTAGCAAGCTTCCAGGGGAGACAGGAAGTCTTAGGCCTTGGCATTGCTGGAGTTCAGGCATCACTACACAGAGCATCTACCATGAAATGTCCCCCAGGAGAGGGAAGTGTATGGGAGACAGAAGGGGTCACTTAAACCAACAGAAAAATCAGACATGTTTAAACAGATGGGGTCAGGAGTTTTGCAAATGAGCAAGTACAGTTGGGTATTGTGGTCACCACGGCAATGCTAGAGAGGAGTAGTGGGGTGTTGGTAGCAGCCAGGATGGGGTCCCATAAGGGTGTGAGGGCCCAGCCTTGGCAAGGCTCACCTAGGGTAGCTCCCACAAGCTCATTAGGAAGTACAGGCTTGCCCTATAATTCTAGTCCCATCCTGTTCACGGGCTCTGGATTCCGGGCTAGAGAGCTGTGGATCCCAGAGCAGAGGCAGGGGGGAAGGTGTGAGGGGAAGCAGCCTCCTACCTTCCTCCGGTTGGAGGGAAAATTCATCTTGTCCACCATCCTGGCCCTCGAGGCAGGTTGCAGGCACCCAGCCTTGCTCTTCGGCAGTGCTGACGAACCACCAACCTGTGAGTAAGAGTTTAGGGTGCTGTCAGTGGGGTGAAGGGGTCGGGTAATAATCCACTGTCCTCTGGCACACGAGGGACTGCTCTAGAGGTGCCCTGAGGGCAGCAGGTCCTCACAAAGGAGTCCTTCATATCACGTAAAGGGTAAAGGACCCACACCCCTATAGACTTTAACTCATCTTCAGGTGACTTCTGCCAACAGGAGACAGAGCTGTGAACAGTTAGGCTGCATGTTTAGGGGTCATGAGAGGAAAAAGCTCTGGACATGCTCAACACAATCATGTTGTTTTTTTTTTTCTTGATTATTTTCTATCCATGGTTGTTTGAATCCAAAGATGCAGAATCCATCGGCGTGGATTCTGTATATTGTATATTCTGCGCGCGCGCGCGCACACACACACACACACTATATTCTGTGTAGTGACTGTCTATTCTGCCACTCAACTGTTAGTGCTCAGGTTAGGCTAAAAACATTTCTAGTTCATTGGTTACAATGCTATGCCAATAGTAGCTACAAATTGTTAAAATAACCAAACCAGACGAAACAAAGAAGTTAACAAGGAAAGCAACTTGCTCCCGAGCCTGGAACAGGGAGGTTGAGGGAGGTCATTGCACAATGAAGAAACCGAGACACAGAGAGGACAGCAGAGGTGATGGTGTACATCAAGCGTGTGGCAGAGCAGCGGTCTGTTTGATCTTAAAGGCACAGGCCTCAAAGGTACTTGGCACGCATCAAGAGGAATCTGGCTGCAGGCGTGACTGTTTGGTAGGCTTTGCATTCATACCGTGTTCTCTGTGAGGAAGGGCTGGTGTGGGCCCAATGACTTCCACCTAGAGATGCCCATGGTCTAATCTTTCAATATCTGTGGGTTCTACATTTGTATTTACCAACTATGAAATAAAAAAAAAATACCTAAAACATCCCTTCAAGTGACCAGAATATATAGCCCCTTAGTATTATTCTCTAAAACCAGTGGTTCTCAGCCTTCCTAATGCTGTGACCCTTTAATACAGTTCCTCGTGTTGTGGTGACCTTCAACCATAAACTTATGTCATTGCTACTTCATAACTGTAATTTTGATATTGTTATGAAAATGTCTAATATGCAGGGTATATGATATGCAACCCCAGAGGGGTCACAACCCACGCTGCTCTAAACAAACAGTAAAACAGCTATCCCCAAGGTGCCTATATTACATAAAGCATAATGTCACCTACAGAGGATGTCAAGTGGACAGGTCAGAAGCAAACACTCTGCCTCCTAATAATATAAGGGATGGGAGCATTATCTCCCCAGTATGTCTTCCTGCCTCACATCCTTTGTAGCAATGCACCCTGGGAGCCCAGGGAATGGGCCCTCCTTTCTTCATTTCCCCTAGTATCTCCTTGCCATACAACCTGCATACATCTCTCTTGGGAGAAGCACACAGACTTAAGCACAGCAGAACTCCAGCTCTGCAGCCTACAGAGACCTGGGGACAAACAGCGAGTCACTATAGCTCATTCAGCTATAGCACAGGGATTACAGTGAGATGACGTGTGATTTTCAGTTTTCACCCGTGGCTCACTATTTCCATTGCTCCTGTGCTTAAGTGGCTGGAATACTACTGGGACACTCTGGGCCTCAGAAGATTGGGGCGCAGTCCCTCTCTGCTCTTCTCCTGCCTGCCCCTTACATCTGCCTTTTCTAATCAAGGCAGGCATGGAGGCGAGGATTTCCCTCCCCCAAGAGAAGTCACAGAAGCTAAAAATATGTTCTAATCTTTTCCACTTTGGAGCCCCTGGCTAGAAAGAAATTAAATTATCTGACCTACTTTGATAATAGATTATAAAATCCCATTTTGGAAGAGTTCCTACCCTATCTCTGACATACAACATAGAGGCCAAAAAGCCTGGAGGAGCAGGCCTGGCTGGCTTCCCCACTGTCTATTAGCATTTGATCTGACCTCTTTTATTTAGTCACAGGTCAACACAGTTGTCAATTGTGCCTCTGCAATGAAATCTCTGAGAACCGCGGGGGTCCGGAGAGCCTGCTGAGCACAGAAATTCCTGGAGGGCAGCGTGCAGACAGAATACAGAAGTGCGGTGCCTCTCCCGAAACTTGACTGTGCATCCCTTCACTTCCATCCCTGAGAGTATCCTTGACAGTGACCCTGAAAGCATGTTTCCCTTGGTCATGTGAGCCACTTAATGGAGCCAGAGAAGGGCTGCTTGAACCATCTTTGATAGCTAGCTGCAGTATGTGCAGGCGGAACAACCCAGCTAAGGCAATAAGGGAGGGCCTGAGGGACCCAATACTACCACTAGGTGTGCAATGTCAGAACAGAATTGCACTAAGGGGACCTTCAGCTGACGTTCACTGCAGGCGTCAGTGCTGCTTGCCATGGGGAGAAATCTTCGCATCTTTTACAGTCAGAGAAGTGACCTTGAAAGAGTTAGAGCACAGGACACTGAGATGACATTGAAGTACTCTTTCCTTCCAGGTCATCAAAGCTGATGACCTCTAGATTGCATAACTATGGAGGTTTGCTGACTAACACCAGCCTCATGACTAATGGTGACATGACCTGGGGGAGGCCGGAAACATCGTCTTCCTGTATTCTTGGAAGCAGGGACTGTTCCTGGATTGCACAGTTCGTTTCTGCTTAGCTAGTGCTGATCGCAGGACCAACATGAGATGTCGTAACTTGAAGGATGCTGGAAGCATCATCCTTCCACAGTTATGCGGACTTAACTGGCCACTGGGCTATCATAGAGCTTGGCCCATAACATGATGAGCCACCGATAACCCAGTTGAGGAGAAGGCTGCTCACACCCTGCTTTTTCCACAGGGTGTGATGGCTGCTGTGTAACTAAGGGGGGGACAGGGAAGGAAATCTGCATTTCTGCAGCACACGCTGTGTGCCAGGTTCAGGTTACTTTTTCAGTAGTTCTTTGACGGTTTTCTGTGTTTTGTGGATGACAAAACAGATGGCCAAAGACATGAAGCAACCTGGACTGATGTGCTGTGTAGAGTCCAGGTGGAATCCAGGCCCCCTGTCTCAATCATCCCACTGCCAGTGGAGGTGGCCAGTGGTCCGGGATGACAGGTGGGTTGAAGAGACTGGCAGATGCCCATCTTTCTGAACAGGTTCTTCCTTTTTTTTTTTTTTTTTTTTGAGACACAGTCTCTCTATGTAGCCCAGATAATTGAAGGCCCTCTTGTCTCCACTTTACAAGCGCTGGTATTACAGGAATGTGCCACCTCTCTTGGATCTGCAACCTTCTTGAGGGCTCCCAGTGGAAATCAGCAAGAAAGTTCTCAATGGAGCACTTGACTCTGTTGATAGCTACGTGAAAACCGGAAGGATAGTTTCTGGGAGTAAGCCTAGGAGCAACGGTAACATATGAGCCAACAGGCTGCCATGACAGTGGCTGTGAGCCCTCTGGGGAGCCAGGCCTGGCTAGCCTGTTCACTTCATGCTTCTGGTTTGTGGGGCTTGGTGATGGTGCAGGGTATGAGGAAGGGGCTCCAGGGCCTTACCTGACTCATTCTTCTCAATGATGTCCACTACTTGGCCCACACTGAGGCTGATCTCTGAGCTTTCCTGCTTCTGGTAGTCTGCTACCACCACATACTGCTCCAGGACCATAGGGTCCACCGAGGTCAGGTCACTCCCTGGGGACAAGCAAATGCCATCAAACATCCCATTAGCTCTGAAAGCCTTGGTTACAGGATCGTGCTCTGAATCCCTAGCCTTGCATCCTCTCATTCATTTGCTTACTCGGGCACCAAAGTTTACCAAGAGCACCGGGGTTTCTAAGAAATACAAAAACCGGTGAAGCCAAACCTCCATAAAGTACCTCGGTACCCAGGAAATAGCCAAACAGCAGGTACTTGCACATCCTCTGCAGCTCCACAGACTTATCCTTGCAGTACCTCCCTCCTTCTTGCCTTGAAGAGTAAATTAATCAAGTACTACAGTGGTTTTTGGAAAATGCCAGCTTTTGCTCCTCACACCCTGGGAGCGGCTTGGGTGAGCCAAGTTGGAACTTTTGGCGGGAAGGAACAAAAGTCCAAACACTGAGAAGCTTGGAGGCCTCCAACACTCCAGATTGCCAAGTGAGTAAGATGTGGCATGTGCCCAGAAGCTGACTGCCTGGGTGGAGCTTAAGGGGATAGTTTGAATTAGCTTGAGGTCACCAACCAGCCGGTCTTTATCGATCCAACTTCATCCGAAATCCTCACCTGTGAACTCATAAGTCTCCTGTGATGCCCCACATACTTTGTTGGGGACCACAAAAACAGATGAGTCTCAAATAACTCAAAGTTTTAGGAAAATAGATACATGGAAGATATATATGTGTGTGTGTGTGTGTGTGTGTGTGTGTGTGTGTACCCACACTCACAAACAAACATACATACATACGAGAGATCCAATTATACAAGCATCAGTTTGGAAATACCCAGGATGCCAGCACAGAGAATGAACAGGAAAGGCAAAGTTGTACCAAAGGAGTGGTCGGCAGGACCTCCAAAGCAGAAAACAGAGACCCATGAGGGAAGGTGTCCTGGGAACGGGAGAGGACCAAGGCAGGTGGAGTCTTCCATAATGGGAAAGGCCTGGGAGCCTCCAGGAAAAGAATGAGGTGGGGAGGCAGAGTTCTGCCAGGAGGTAGGCATGGTTCTGAGAGAAGTCCCGAGGAAAGCACTGATCTGAGGCCAAGGACTTGATAAGTTTGGATTTTTAAATCTTGAGGAGTTGATTAAGGGTTCTAGGAAGGGAGTAGCAAAATTTACAGTTGGACAAGTGGTTCTGGCTGCCGTGTGGAGAGAGGCAGAGGCTGGCAAGGGAGAGAGAGCTCCAGACTAAGGGTGTGAGGTGTTAGGCAAGAGGCAATGGTGGCACTGGAGCTGGGCAGTGGTCCCAGATGGGAAAAGTATGGGAAGCGCTTCCAGGCAGACGGCTTTCCCAGTGTCACACCCTAGAGCTGTAAAGGCCTGGTGGTACCCACTAAGACAGATGGGTATCACACAAAAACACACCACAGAAGACTTAAAGGGAACATCTCAGTTCAGAGGCGTCAAAGGGGCCAGCCTGGCACGTGTGGGGGAAGGGCAGGCCTGCTTCTTGGCTCTGTGAGCAGGTTCTGGCCACTGGTCCTTCCTGCTGTGGGGGTGGAGGGAAGGCATCCAAGCAGGGACCACCCTAACCACCTGAACCTGAGTGGAGAGAGCATGAGGGGAAGGGAGAGAAGAGATGCAGAATGGATGTGCTGAAGAAGGCTGGATGGGAGGAAGCTGGGGGAAAAAAGCCTCTCGTGGGCCGAAGACCATCGCAAACCTTCCCCACATCACTGTGCATGGGTGGGCACTGCCTATTAGATAAGAAAACAGACTGAGGATAGTAAGTGAATTGTCCTTTACCACACAGCTGGATGGGCTTCCCATCCCAGTGTGGAAATGAACGATGAACAACAGGGAAAGAGGTAATAGCTGAGGTCTTCCAGCTTTCTTTCCTCGGCAGTTCCTGGGTCCACCCCAGGTTCCAGCCTACCTGTGTCCTTTCTTTGTATTTCTCAGAGGTTATACCCCTTAACAGCTCTCTGTCATACCCTTTAACAGGTCAACAGCCCACCAAACCCAGACAGCCACATTGGCTAGGGTCTGAGACAAGGCTGGCCTGACCCTACTGGATTGTGACTCTGTCGAGAACCTCCTGCCAGGCTAACCTGGTATGTTCTGCCCCTCCAGGGCCCTGCAAGGAGCCCATGAGTCTAAGACGCTGGCTCTCTGCAAACAAGGGTTCTTTTACGTTCAATAGAACAAACCAGAGTCCACACTGAGTAGAACCTGCTTGAGGGCCAGGAACCCCTCTACTGGGCACCAGCTAGTCTTACTCTCCTAACTGGCTCCCTGCTGCCAGCCTCAATCCACCATGATTCTTCAGGTAGAGGATCATTTGGGTCATTATCCTCCCCAGGCAAGGTTCTGCTTTTGTGGTTCTCACCTCACTTAAGAAAAGCCCAGTGCCTGCAAAGCCCTGCCCAATGGATGCAGCCTGTTAGCCAATCAGAACATGTTCCCTCCCCTGCCCCACCCCAGCCCACCCCAGAGGGCAGAAGGCTACTCATCTCCCATTCTCTTTTATTCTACAGAGACTGCAAAAATTTTGACCAGCTACATTGAACACTTGGGAAAAGACCTTTCCACTTGGGAATGGCATGAGTCGGTGGGTATACACGGAAGTATATGCAACTGCTTGGTGTCTCTATGGAAAGAGGCTTGCCCTGATTCACCCATTTCTCCTGGCCTAAATGGGAATGTAACAAATGGCTGAGGCTACAACAGCCACCTTGGGCCAGAAGGTAACCTTGAGAACACTGCCATGTATGGCAAAGCACTAAGGCAGGCCCTAGATCCTCGTCACCGCCAAACACTGTGCCAGGCTCGGCTATCTTTTGTGTTTGAGCTAAGAAGCAGTACTGAACTGTTTAAGCTCCAATCCGTCAGAACTTTCTGCCACAAGCAGTCAAGTCTATCTCACATTTGTACACCTTATATCGCCACGCTGAGCCAGCAGCACGCACTGTTCTCTTTGCAAGAGACAGTCTCCGCCAGCTGTTGGCACCACTGTTTCTCTCCTTTCCTCAAGGGGTGCTTGGTGGCGACCCCTCTGACAGCCCGCCGTTACAGCCTCACTTACTTTTGTTTCTTAAAAAAGATGTATTTTTTTAAATCAGTTTTAGTTATGTGTAAAGGTGTGGGTATGTGCACCCATGTGCAGGCTCCAGAGGAAGTCAGATGATCCCTCAGAGCTGAAGGTACATGCAGTTGTGGGCAGCCTGACGTGTCAGGACCAACTGAGATTGTTTCTGCTGCAAGAGCAGAAGTGCTCTTAACTGCTGAGCCATCCCTCTGGCCATTCCGTGTTACTTAAAAAACAAACAAACAAACAAACAAACAAACCAGAAAAAAAAAAACCCATCAATTCTATACATCCCCTTCTCTCCTGCTGTACATTTTCCTGTTCTGGCTTAGAAGTCCATGTTCTAGCACGAATCCAAGGACTCATCTCTGGTTTGCAGGCTTCTAAAATTTTCATTTATTTTCTTATTTTTTTTATATTACATGTATAAGTATTTTTCTCTACATGGATGAATGTGCATCAAGTGCCTGCCTGATGCCTGCAGGTCAGAAGGGGACATTTTGTCCCTGGAACTGGAGCGACAGACAGTTACGAGCCACCATGTGGGTGTTGGGAACTCAAGCTGGGCCCTCTACAGGAGCAGCAGGTGCTCTGAACTGCTGAGCCGTCTCTCTAGCCCCACCTACTTCTTAAAAGTGTCTGTGGATGAGGAGGATGAGACAGAGGAGGAGGAGAGGAATAAAATGTATTATTGTTAGTGACAGACTGCATGTGACCTTTAATATGGAAATTATCTATACATTATTTGGCTCTTTAGAAAAAAAAAATGTATCAATTCATGATTTAGACCATGGATGGTACCTAGTAGAGCTCAATAAATAGCAAAATGGAAGAAGGAATATTTTATTTTATTTTTGGTTTTTCAAGACAGAGTTTCTCTGTGTAGCCTTGGCTGTCCTGGACTGGCTTTGTAGACCTCTGCCTCCCTGAATGCTGGGATAAAAGGCGTGCACCACCACACCCAGCTGAAAGACTATTTTAAAACTTTGATTTAAATGACTTCCTGTCTTAGGGAATATCAAATATCTTTATTATTTCCTTTTGTTATGTCCTTTTTTGCCTTGACAGTCCCTGGGGAACAAATACTGCCAGGCACACAGTAGGAGCTTAGTAGGTACTGGGTGACAGAATCAGGAAATCTAAATCAATAGGAAGCCATGAGCAGAGAACAGAGGGCAGCCTTTGGTTGCATGAGCTGAGAACGACAGATAACGGGGCTCAGGCTGTGGTTTTGAGCTTTAGGCTGCAGTCCCTGGCCAAGGCGTGCCTCAGAGTCGAGAGCCGGGAATTGCTTCCCAGTGCTGTTTCCAGGGCAAGTGGTCTGCGGTTTACTCAGAATACCCCACTTACCAACACTGATGACAAGAAGTCTGGTTTCAGATGATTAGCCAGGAGCCTTACATGAGCGTCAGACCATTCGGGTGCCATGTAGAGACTGGTGGAGTGTGACATTGAAACTAAGCCCTATTAGGAACGGTACCAGAAACATCTCTCTCCTGGTTGAGGCACAAAGGTTCGCCAGGGGCGAACTCAGAAGATTCCTAGGCTAAATCACATGACCCGAAAAGAACTGACAGCATTCTTCTTGTCCTTGTAGTCTTAAGCCACATAGTGCCTACTCTCCCAGAGAAACTTTTGAGTTAGGTGTTTTTTTTCCTTTCTGATGACATGTCTTGAATTTTTAAAATGTTGAGTAATGCCAAAGTAGGATTTTTCCTCCCTCCATAAGTTCACTAAATTGCCAGGCTTGCTAAAAAAATCTGTAAATAAGCAAAAATCAAGAAGAAAAGCTCTTGCAAGCCATCAGATGACCTGCTCAATTGTGGTGAGACGTTTCCCCCCTGTGGGATGAGCAGAATTTGGGGCCACGTGAGCCAAGTCTGCAGGAGCCAGCTGGTTGTGACTGGGCGGTGCTGGGGACAGACAAGCCTTCTGGCATAGAAGATGCAGGGGTAAAATCTGCCTTTAATTTAAATGTCTTTAAATTCAATCAAGAAGGACAGCTCTAAAATCAAGGCAGTGTCCACCACTCAGATAAGTATGGAGCCCATCGAGGGTTCTGAGTCTGACTGAAGAAAGGTGCCGTGTTCCGGCCAGCGGGACTATAAACAAACCTAAGCCCCATCATCGCAGGTGAGTGATGTCAACCACTGTCACCACAAATTACAGCCTCGGCTTTCTTTTCCAGACAGGTCCCCTCATCAAGCCTGTTCCGGCGGGACACTCTCATTTTCACAAACCAGAGTGTCTCTTCCTTCCCCACCCCATCTTCTCCAGCTCCTGTCAGGGGAGTCTACATACTCAAGGCCAGAAACTCCGAGACCAGCCCAGAGTGGCAGCTGCTCTCTGATCTTTGCTAAGAAAAGAAATGTGTCATTATCCCAGCTGAGGACCATTTGCAGATTTAGCAGGATGCCATGGTGTGGCCAGTGACCGCTAAGCCCCAAAGGAGAGCTGGATGCAATCAGCGAGCAATGGAGGCTGGGGCCGAGGAAAGAGGAATGAGGTCATGGCTTCTGTCTTTACTTTCTGCCTTGATCAGCCTAGAGGCCTGTAAAGCTCACCCAGGGCCTGTTCCCAGGAGGAGAGGAAGAGAACAGCCCTGAAATGTGGACCTGTTCTTGGTGCTATCGGGGACATCTGTAGGCTCGAGCAATAATCAAACAGTATCAGTTAGATATTACTACTAAAGGATTTTACATATATTATTATAGACCCTCTGACAATCCTATAAAACACATTAGTGTGTGTGTGTGTGTGTGTGTGTGTGTGTGTGTGTGTGTGTGTACTTAAATGGCACCCAGGGCCTTGTGCATGTTAGGTGAGTGTTCTACCGCTGAGCCACACCCCAGGCCTGGATGTTACACATGAAGAAACTGAGGCAAGGTCATAAGTTTTTATTTCGTGAATCTCTGCCTGTGCCCCTTCCTCCCCATGCACAGAGACCCTCAAACTTCCTGGAGTTCAAGATTAGAGGCTAGGGCCCTGGAAACTCCTAAATCCACACTGGCTGTGCTGCCAGAAGGAGCATGGGGTAGTAAGAAGAGCTGGACTAGTGACCTTCATCTTTAGAATGTGCAGGCCTGTGGGAACTATCACCCCCAGGCCCACCTCTGCTAGAAGACTGGTATCATCCCAAGAATAAAAAGGCGGTCAGAAGCCAGCTTCCGGCAGGAGAAAGGAGCCAAACAGGGCTTGAGTGACGGGCATCAAGCTCTGCCCAGGATAGAGGGCTGAAGGAAGCTTAGAGGGCAGCCAGGGCTGAGGCTGTCAAAGGCCCAGGCCCAGATGTGTGGCTGAGTCCACCTCCCAGTCAGAGTGTATGGTGTCCTCTCTGCCTGGAGTTTCCTTCACTCTTTGGAAAGCTCACCTTTAGTCCTCAAGATTCAGGGCTCCTACCCTCTCCTCACTCTCTCACTCCTCTTACCCTTCCAGTACTGTAGAAGGCTCTGAGTGTCCATATTGCTTGTACAAAGTGGAATGGAGGCCCAGACCCTCTGCTGTGTGGTTAGGAAGACATCTGTCTTACCATGCCACAAAAGCATTCTGGTCTCATCCACTTGGTAGAAGTTTTGGCAAGGGATAAAACAGGCTCAGATCCTTCTTTTGTGAGACAGGGATGGGTATTAGTTAATCAATCAATCAATCAATCAATCAATCAATCAATCAACAGCTCATCTATTCATTCTCCTAATCATCTACATACAAAAGCACCCATTCAGCATTCACCCATCCCTCTGTCTGTCTATCTATTCACCCACCCATCCTACAACAATCCAATTACCATCCATCTGTCCATCTATCCCTCTGTCTATCCATCCATTGAACTGCTGTGCCCCAGTGTAGAACCCAACACAGGGTACATGGCAGGAATGAAAAGAAGGAACTGGAATATACGCTTACCTGACTTCTTCTTCCCGATATGCTCCCTGTGTAGGTGAAAGGGATGAGAAAGAGCCAGTCAGTCCTTGTTATGCAGTAAGGTAAGACTCCATTAGGATGCTGACAGTCCTCACCCCACAGCGTCCTCAGGCAGTGAATGAACCCAAACCCACCCCAGGAACCCAGGCTTCTTCTAAGAAAGCCCCCACCCCCACCCCTTCAATGTTGCCTTTATCTGATAAGGGTTCAGGATCCATGGACCAAAGTTTCTTTGCATTTGGGGAGTGGAGGCATCACACTCTGATAAGCATGTGTTGGTGCAGAACAACTGTGGAACTGTGGGTTCCATTGCCTGTTATATGGGACCACGCCCTTTCCCACTTACAGCAGCCATGGAGCAGAAGGCAGTGAGGCCTTGCAGGGGGGCTGAGGCAACGAACTCTGGCTTACTTTGTACTTTGCTGACTCTGCGTCCCCGTGGGACTGGAATGATGAGCGAGCTATCACCTGGGGAAGTCCATGGACCAACTTACTCTTTGGGAGGATTAAGGTCCTCGGGCCTTGTTTCGAAAAACTGTAGCACCTCATCACACTGAGAGATGTAGGGGGGCAGCTGGATCAGGGCCTAGAACAGAGACATGGCTGAACCCCAGGAAGGAGATGGTATCAAGAACATTGTCACCAGCGGTTCTCAAACTCAGAAAGGCATCAGGATTGCACTGGAAGAATTCCTAATGCAAAGATGGGACCCCCTAGAGCTTTTGATGTAACAGACCTGTGGCGAGGCCTTCGACCAGGCATTTTAACAAGCTTCCTGGAGATGCTGGTACCGTTGCCTTGGAGAACACACAGGCATGCACATGCACTCTCCCAGATGTATGGAGATAATACATCCTGCCGGCATATGTGCAAACACTGTATGTTCATTATTATACAATCCAGCCCACACGTACATGCTATTTTGGAAAGTGATACTTTGACTAACAGCGTGAACTCTATTCATTTCATCCTTATCTACCATATTCTATGTTGTCTGCCATTGGAGAACATCTGGAGCGTGTCCAACAAGAGTCTGAATCTCCCAAACTGAAGCTGCAAAACCCAACGATTTGGGTTGGATGTAAGTCTCCTGGGTGATGGAGGGTTAGCATGCCAGCCTCCCCCGGGCTAGTTCCCAGTCATCTGGCAGAGCGGCTCAGCTGGGTCATGACAGAGTCCAGCTGGCAGGCGGCATGAAGCAAGGTAAGGGCCAAGGAGGGCACAGGCGCTTGTTCTGTCTGCTCACCTACCAAGTATTCATTCAAGTATTTAACAGGTATCTTCTCTGTCCCAAGAAAGAACAGGGCACACCCTGCTCATCACAGAGGTGGCGCCACACCGAATGAACGCCGAGGTTGAGCAGACATTTGACTAAGCCTCCCTCCTCTCCAAGCGAAGGTCCCGGAGTGGGATGATCGAGGTGCAAAAGGCTCGTGGTAGAGCGGGTTCAGGTCCATGCTACTACAGACACAGAGGCGGGAGCGCAAGCGTGTGTATGTGTATGAGCCTGCTCCCTCACAGAGGCCTCCACAGCTCAGTGGGACTCTGCACTTCCTGGGCTGTGCTCCCTGGTGCCTCTCTTGCACCTTCTGGGCCTGATGTTGCCCGAGTGAAGAGATGAGTCATGTATTTTCTGCCTAACAGCTCTGCAAATCAAGCCTGGGCTCCACTCTTGCATCAATGTGCAGAACACCAGGTTCAGACGCACCTCCTGGTGGCACACAGGGGACTCCAGGGTGAAACCTCACAGCTCTGAGGGGATTTTGACCCTACCACATCTCCCCCCCATTAAGAATTTTACATTGTGGTCAAATACATATTAACATCAATTGGCCATTAACCGTCTCAGGGTCACGGACACCTTCCCGCTCTCTCCCTCCGAACCCAGAGCTCATTCCATGTTGCCGGGCGGGGTGGGGTGTAGGGGGGACACCCTTGCGCAGCACATGTCAGGATTTCTTTCTTTGGGTTTGACACTATTCCATTGTCCACGTACACGGCATTCCCTTCATTCACCCTGAGCAGGTGGGCTGCTGCGTCTACTTCTCTGGTGGGGCAGGGGTGCCGGGGGTGGGACCCAGGGTTCGTGCACACTAGGATATTGTTCTGCTGCTGAGTTTCCACCTCAGCCTGAAGGAATTTCTGACCCAAGCTCTAAGCTACTTCCACAGACTTAAAGTGGAAAGATAGAGATAGTGTGAGGTAGACAATGGTCCTGGAAGACCCCTCATGGCCACTGTCCACTCTCTGCCTCAGGGTGAGAGATGCTGACATACAGCTTGCTGATTTTTTTTTTTTTTGAGATTTTACTTGTGTTTGTTTATCTGATGTATGTCTGCGTATCACTTGTGTGCAGTGCCTGTGAGAGCCAGAAGAGGGTATCAGATACTCTGTGACTAGAATCACAGACAGTTGTGACTACCACGTAGGCACCTGGGAATTGAACTCAGGTTCTCTGGGAGAGCAGCCAGTGCTCTTAACGGCTGAGCCATCTCATCAGCCCCTTGTTGATCATTTCAATTTGCCATGAGGCATCACCTACTCTGCAAAGGGCCCCAGGATGGACCTTTGCCAGGGGTGCGGAGCCACACTCTCCTCTTCCACAACACCCTTTGATGCTTCTCCTTTTTCTAATTCTGGGCTGCGAATGGTGATTTTTCTGCCCAGGACACCTGCTGTGCAGGGCTCTTTCCTCTGAAGCCCTGTAGATTTTGCAGCTTAACCACACCAGGGAGTTGCTGATATGATGCCGGCTAGGCTGTGCCATACCCTGCTGTGTGGTGTACAGAGACCTTGCACCTACCCACTCTGTGACAGCAACAGAACTCTTGAGAACAAACTAATGCTTTTTCTAGTGAGTGAGGCTTTGCTCTGCAGGAACAATGCACTGCTATAAATCGAGGCTTGACGCCGCATTTTGCTCTTTTTTTTTTTTTTTCTCTACCACGAGTTAGAATGCGTAAGAAGTCCTTGCTGGCACTATGCTCTCCAACTTCACAGCTTCTGGAACCATGAGTCAAAAGAAATCTTTCTTTCTTAGTAGACACCCAGTCTCAGATATTCTGTTATTGCCACGGGAAATGAGCCAGGGCAGGCTGTCCTTAGACGTCCTCAGGCTGATAGAGGTGAAAGAGCACCTGTGTGACATCTGTGAGACCCTGAGGTCAGTACCTGGTACCAGAGGGTCGTAGTGGTGCACAGCTTTAGTCCCAGTATTTGGGAGGCAGGGGCAGGCAGATCTCTGTGAGTTCGAGGCCAGTCTGATCTACACAGTGAGTACTGGGGGGGGGGGAGCCAGAGCTACATAGTGAGACCCTGTCTAGAAAAAACAAAAACAAAAACAAAAACAAAACTCAAACCAAATCAACCAACCAACCAACCAAAAAGCCTCAGTACCAAAACCCAAACAAAACACAGTTCACTTTAGAAAAGAGTGCTTCAAGGTGTCAGCTGTCTCTGTCTTGGATCAATCCCACAGTCTGAAACCACAGCATAGCAGTAGTTAGAAATGATTTTTTTCTCTCTCTACTGGAGAAGTGAGGTGTGATCTAGAGAAAGTCTGATGCTCTGGCCCCTGTGTGAACAGAAGCCGGTGAGACCATGCTTCACATACGTCCTTCACAATGGTGCTCTGGGCTGGGGCCTCTTCTTGAGGGTTTTATGACTGGGCTTTGCTGCCCCCAGAACATGCTGCATCTGTCGTGGGCAGCGGTCATGCCAAGTGCTGCCAAGCAGACGGCTGGTAGTTCACCAGCCCCGCAGCAAGCTGAGTAGCCGTTTATAAGGCTGCGTGACAACACATGCTCATCATGCGGCAGGTTCAGAAGTCATGTTTTCACTGTGTCCTTCTATAAGCGTAACTTCTTAGATGTAATGAAATACATCTTCTTTGTGGACTGCACCTTTCGTGTCTTTAAAAGCCCCTCCATGCCTAGAGATGGGGAGCTTTCGTTTTTCTGAAACCCTCACAGCACTTCCTCTTACAGTGATGACTCTAAGTTCCTGGAAGTGAGCCCACTGTGCTGTGACGCTGACGCTAGACATCTCCTGCACAACACTCCCCCCCCCCCATATGGAGACTCTTTATCCAGGAATCCAATCTTTCCCAATGATCTGCAAGGTTGCCTCTGTCAGTGCCAGCTGCCAGCCAGCCCAACACACCGGGGTCTGTTTCTGGGCTCTCAATTTGTTTCCAGTAGCTTTTCTATCGGGTACCAATTCTGCAGACGATGGTAACTGTACACTGGGTCTGGCAGAACCCTTTCTTGAGAGTTTTACTGCACACGTGGCAGCCAGGTTTGGGTACCAGCAGTCCTTGCCTCTTTCTACCTGTTGGAGATTACCACTTTATACTAAAATTAAGCTCAGTGTGATGGATCCAATTACCTTAAGTCAGTTCACAATGTCCCTAACAGCTGTCTAAATATTAGGAACAGTTTTTGCATCCAGAACTGCAGATCCGGTGACAGAAGGAACAGTTCATCTCCTCCAAGGAGGGTAGGTTCTATGGTACTAATAATCCAGGGAATCTGGGCAAGTGAAATAACAAAATGTTGGCATTGTTCTGATTCACAACCTTAGCAATTTCTTCCTGGGAAAGCCATAAACATGAGTGCAGCTGGACCTGGAGAGAATTGGGTGTGCTGCGGAGAAAACAGGTCAGGATGATGTGGGCAGAGGATCAACTTCGGGGAAAAGTAGAGGCAGGAATTGTCTAGCAGGGCACAGTGATCCTAAGGACCTAAAGCTCTTGCCAGCAGGGCCTGGACAAAGGGATGCTACCATCAGAATGGCAACTTCAGACTTGATAGTTATAAAAAAGGGACATGGGAAATGAAGAACTTTCCTCTGGGAGTTGGAAAGTAGGAGCAAAGTGTTTATCCTTGGCCCCTCACCCCTTCAGAAGACGACAGTTAGCAGGGAGGAGTACGTCTGCCTATGATAATGTGTTTTCTGTTGCTATACCAAAGTAACCGAGACTGGGTCCTTTATGAGATGAAGGCCCATTTGGCTCACAACTGTGGGGCTGGCCAGAGGCCTCCCCCATCTGTGTCATAACTCTGTAAAGAAATACAAAAGAGACCAAGAGCACCATATAGTCTTGATTTTTATAACAGCAAGCTCTTGAGAAGATGACTTTTCTTGAGACCAGCATTAGGGCCCAGTTCTTGCAGGTTCTGCCACCCGAACGCTAACACACAGAAGGTCAAATATCCATCATAAAGCCCTCTTGAGGGACACTCTTGCTCCACATTCAGACCACAGCACTGTGACACAATCCACGCCCTATTACTTCAACCTCTTGCATTTTTATTTTTTTTTCAGAGGCAGTAATTGGTACACAGGGTGTTGAACTTGCAAACCCTCTGATACTGTGGTTATGAGTAGCTGTGGGGCTTCACTTCCTCCTCTACACAGCGGGAATATGGAAAACCTACCTTGTATAGTCACTGGAGGGATGCATGAAGGTCATGTCTGACCAGGAGCGGACCATTCCATCAGGAGTGATTTTCAGCCCTTCCTACATGCCTCCTCACCAAGAGGGGCTATCTGTCCCAACACTGCCCCCTTTGGTATAAAACTTTTCACATTTATTACAGTATAATTTACATGCCTCATACTTACTGCAAGTGCCCAGTTCAGTATTTAGTAAATTACAGAGTTCTAGCCTCATCCCCACAATTCAATTTTAGAACTTTTCCATCGTCCAAACATCAAAATTGCAGTCAGTCTTCCCGCCCACAGTTCCAGGGCCCAGGAACCCACTCGTCTGCTTTCTGTGCTCATAAACTCACCCTGCTTACACAGTCACTTGGTCAGTTGTCTTTGCATCTGGTTTCTTTCACTTAGCAGCATGATTCTGCAATTCCTCTAGGTCATATAATTTACCCAAATTTAACTGGCTGATAGCATCAAGTTTCAGACTGCCCCCTCCATTTGGCTCTTACGACTTACTGTTGCCACGAATGTTTGCACCTAAGGCTCTGTGTGGACATAAGCTTTCTCTTATGTATAGATCCAAGGCTGACTGTGTGATAAGCTTCTTGGGGTGTGTTGAAACAGGTTATGGACCCAGGCTGGCCTGAAATTTTGTGATCTCTGTGTCTCAGCCTCGAAGAAGCGGCCCCATTATTTCCCAGATCCTCACCAACATCTGGCGCAGCTGTCCCATGGTTAATGCCAAACTACAGTCCCTCTTAGCATGACCCCAATGGTTCGCAGTGCTAAACATCTCTTCATGTGTTTATTTTACTTATTTAATTTGTTTATTTTTGAAAAATGTTCTCACTGTGTAATCCTGGCTGGCCTTGAACTCATTTGTAGACCAGGCTGGCCTTGAAATCACAGAGCTCTTCCTGCCTCTGCCTTCCTCAGTGGTGGAACTAAAGGCATGCACCACCATGCCCAGCTCACATGCTTATTATAACCCCTGTCTCCTCTTGGGTGAGGGTGCTATGGAATTCTTCTCCTGTCTGAAAGTCTTTTTATTATTTCTTCTTCCTCCTCCTCTTTTTCTTTGTTTGTTTTTCAAGACAGGGTTTCTCTGTGTAGCTGTCCTGGAACTTGCTTTGTAGACCAGGGTGGCCTGGAACTCAACGAGATCCACCTGCCTCTGCCTCCTGAGTGCTGGGACTCAAGGCGTGCACCACCATCACCTGGCATGAGTTCTTTATGTATTCTCAGTAACTCCCTTACAAATGTTATTTATGGATATTTCTGTGCCATATCTTTTGATTTTTCCTAGCGGTGGCTTTTTTCTTCTTTCTTTCTTTCTTTCTTTCTTTCTTTCTTTCTTTCTTTCTTTCTTTCTTTCTTTCTTTCTCTCTCTCTTTCTTTCTCTTTCTCTTTCTTTTTTCATCAGAGAACTTTGTAAGTAGGTTTGATGAAGGCTAACTTGACCGAATAGGTTTAAGGATTGTCACTTTTGGTGTCCCATTACGAATCTCCTTGTTTAATGCAGGGTCATGCAGGTTTCCTCTACATTTTCCTTTGGAGGTTTTACAATTTTGTCTCTTCTACTTAGGGCTGTGGCCTGTTCTGTGTATTTGTGCACACACGTCTTCATGTGTCTGTGTACGGAAGTGTGCGTGTCTACGCTGGTGTCTTTCTCTATCACTGTTCACCTCGTGTTTTTGAGATAATGTTTTACTGAACTTAGATGTCACCAATTCAGCTAAAGTAGATGGTGGGTGAGCCCCCGAACGTCCCTTTTCCCCAGCACAAGCGTTACAGATGTGTGCTGTCACATCTGGCTTTTACACAGGCGCTGGGGATCCAAACTTGGGTTTTCATGCTCCAGTGCAAACACTTTCCCCACTGAGTGGTCTCTTCAGCTCCTATGACCCCTTTTGAGTTGATTTTCTGCACAAAGTGTGAGGGAAGGCGTCAGGTTCGCTGTATGTTTGCATGTGCACTGAAGCTGTGGGTGGATCTGAGGTGAAAGGGGGGCACAGTTCAGCTCTATCCCCTCAGGGTATATGTGCTTAGAGCAGGGTCTTTACAGAAGTAATTGGAGGTTAACCAAAATCATCAGGGGTGGGCCTTGATCCACATAAAGAGCGTCCTTTCGGATTAGTGCACACATATATGAAGAGAACATTTCCGGTACAGTCAAGACAGCTACCTGTGGCCTGAGAGACCCTGCTGCTGGTATTTTAGCTTTCAGGAGTGACAGAAAAACCAAGTCCTGCCATTGAAATCACCAAGTCTGCGGCAGCTTGTGGCCCCGATGAACTAGGCAGTAGCTAGTTGTTCCATGAGTTAAAAAAAAAAAAAAAATTCCTTCCTCGTTGAACTGTTTTGGCCTGGCATTTTGGAGCATTTATTCCTGGCTCACAACTTTGTCCACTGATCTGTGCATGGATCTCAGGATAATACCATGGAGACTGGATTCCTGTAGGGAGTAAGGAGCCTTGCTGGGAGCCTAGGGGATGCTAAGCATGACATATCTTCCAAGATCCCTTTTACTTACACACACATGCCCACACATACACAGACACACGATAGATCTTGTCAGCACCACTAAGGAGCCCATAGGATTTCTATAGAATTAAGTCCACATACAAAGAATTTTTTTTTTCTTTTAGTGTACAGAATGCCTTTCCATTCCTTTAGAGGTTTTTTTTTTTTTTTTTTTTTTTTTTTTTGTTGTTGCTTTGTTTTGCTTTTGAGACAAGGACTCACTATGTATGTAAGCCTGGGCTGTCTAGAACTCATTGTGTAGATCAAGCTCTCCTCGAACAGAGAGTTCTGCTTGTGCCCCAGAGTGCTGAATAATGGCAATCCCACCACGCCCAGCTTTACTCACAGCTCTCTGGATTTTTCTTGGCAGTGCTTTGTATAAATTCTGTATAAGTTCAGTGTATAAATTCTGTACTTTCAGCTAAGAACATTTTTAACGGTTTTAATATATAGTTTTTTGCAGCTGGTTTGAGTAGAACTCTTCTCTCTTCTCTCTCTCTCTGGTATATTTTATGTGCACATGTGTATAGGTGGAGATAAAAGCCAGAAGTTGGTATTGAGCGCCTTTCTCGGTTGTTTCCCACCAGTTTTGGGGACAGGGTCTCTCACAGAACCCAAATCTTGCTGGGCTGGCTGGGCAGTGAGCCCCCAAGACCTGCCTGTCTCAACATCTAAGCTCAGGATGACAGGCCCTTCAAGCCACGCTCAGCATATTACATAGGTGCTCAGCCAAACCCAGGTCTTCATGTTTGTGTGGTAGGTACTTTACTGACTGCGCCATCTCCCCAGCCTGAGGGGAAGTGCAGCCTTGACGTCACATCTGGATACAGAAACAACTGGTGGCTGCATATGCCACCTGCATCCTGTGATCTTACTCTGCTCACTTAATAGAGATGCTAAAGGAAATGAAAACACGTTTCCTTCCCCGCAATCCAATAGCACCAAAAGGCAAGAGGCCAGCTGCTCCATCAACACTAGGGGCTGGATGCTGACTGGGACGTTCATGCCCAGTGCAATACCACACAGCTGCCGAAATCGGATTCAGGTTGATTCCACAGTAGCAATGGGAATTTGTATGTTTTGTTTCCCACCCTAACATGAACAGTTGGCACGCAGAAAGGAAAACAAAACAGAACACCCACAGGGGAATCTGGTGTTGGCATCTCTGCTTACCTTACAGTACTCATCAATTGGTATCAGGCGTTTGACGGCTACGTCCCGGATGTGGCTGCGGCGGAAGAGGATTTTGCCTGTGGGGGATGAGAACACTTTTAGCATGGCAGTGACTAGTGACCTGCCTTCTGCCACCTGGAGTGGCTGTCTGGGGGTGGGCCTGAGTGGTACCAAAATTCCGTAGCTTTCCCTTTTTAAACTTCTGCATCAGTGTGAAATTACATGGAAGAGCCCCTGGGCAGGAAGGGCTCCCTCAAGCTAAGCCTGGGCAGCCCAAGACCCTCAGGCTCATGGGCAGCTCAGAGCAGAAACTCAGCCTCCCTTCTTTCCTTATTCATGCCTCTGCTCCTGGCTAAAGGTCCGCTAAACTTCTGTGCTTTTTTTTTTTTTTTAAGTGATTCTGTGTATTTCTTATCTATCCAAGCTTGCTAGAAAGAAAAAATATAGAAGACGATGCACCAAAGGATTTGAAGAGATCTGTCTTCTTCCAAGTGACAGAAGACAGGTCATTTTTTCTTCTCTAACTTTTCCCATATTTACTGCTTTTAGAATCATAAAAACATCCTCCAACAGAAAAGGAGGGCAGTGCTGACAGCCTGTTTTTTTTTTTTTTTTTTTTTCCAATGGGAACCCAGGGGCCAGCAGGCTCTACTGTTTGCCCTAACTCGGAGGAACCCTTTTGGGATTCTGGGTGGGCTATCCTTCTCAGGGCAGAATTATGCCAACCCTGTGAGGTGCTGAGCAGCTCCAATTCAACTCTAGATCAAGCTGGTGGCCGTCCCAGCCCCAGCCACCGTGACAGTCAAATAGCCCCAGTTCTCATTCTTGCTGGCCTCTGCAGGTAGAGCTGCTTGCAATTTAGACTCCGCTGAAGTGCCACAGCCTATAAGCCTTCACAACTAAGAAGGAATGTGACCCTATGGAGCAGCAAATGCTTTCTGCCATTCATCTGTTTCTCAAAGTGGGAGAGGACCCTCCCACCCCAACCCCAAACTAATGTGTTTCCATTTGGCTGTAGTTCCCTTCTGCACATCAGGGGAGGAGAACCGTATACAGGGTTCCTACTATAAAGGTATTAAGTGGGCTCAAAGCAGTCACAACTAACATGGGGCTACTGCCAACCCAAACCACCAGACTTGTCTCAAAGCCACCACGAAGCTAAAGAATCTGTTTTGGTTAAATTTTTTGGTCAACTTGATACCAGCTAGAGTTATCTCAGAGGGAATCTCAAGTAAGAAAATGTCTCCATGAGACTGGCCTGAAGGCAAACCTATACAGTATTGTCTTGGTTAATGATTAATTTGGGAGGGCCTGGTGTCACCCCTGGACAGGTGGCTGCACGAGCCAGGAGGAAGCCAAGGAACAGCACTCCTCCATGGTTCTTCTTCAGCTCCTGCCTCTACTTCCCTCAATAATAGACTGTGGCATGGACATATTAGCCAAATAAACCCTTTATTCCTCAACTCTTGTTTCATCAAAGCAAGGGAAACTAAAGGAAGCCAGAGACCTGTGTCAAGGCTTCACCCCAGAAGGAGCTCAGAGGGTGGAAACTCCTCAGTGGGGTTGGAGGGTCCTTGGGGATACTTTGGGGCAGGGGAAAAGCTCACTAGGTGGTTACAGCCAATCCCTCTTACACTGTGCCCCTGAAGAGCCAGTCACCTCTGGAACCTGTGGACAGGAGGACAGGGCTTTGTCTCCCAGGTCCTCTCCGCAACACACCTGGAGCCTGGCCCTTGGTAGACTTTACAAAGGAGTAATTACTGTGTGCCCCCAAAGCAGGGTGAGAACGCCTGTGACGCTCTAGGTAATGTTAATTATCTCTCCCATGGTCAGCTTTCTGGGGCCAATCACGTGAGAACGGGGTTACGCTCAGGCCAGGCTCCAGGCAGCCCGCCAAGGCTCTCAGCAGTTCCTAGCTGCTGGTGGTACCTCTCTGGTGAAGTGTGGGGACAGTCAGCACAGGTCTGATGGGAAGATGAGGAAGGACGGTGGGACTACCTCCATGCTGGAGCAGAAAGGGTGTTCAGAAGAGAAAAACGGCTTTGGTGGGAATGGGCGGCTTTTGTTTTCCAGTGGAAGAAGGCCAAACTGTAATGCTTAGTTTTCAAGTTGCATCCTCTGCCAAGTTGGCCTCCCCAGCTCTTGCTGGGACGGAAAGTCCACACAGGCGGGTCCCCCTCCCCCGCCTTTGTGCTAACATGAAACTCGCCTTTGTCTTGCTGACAAGGCACTCTGGGTAGAGAACTGACCTCAGAGAGGAGACCCACTTCCTGCCCATAGCATTGGCTTGGGGAATAGCTGAGAGGTGGGCTCAGAAGGGATGGGCCAGAGGTCCTGGGGCCCCTGGGGATCCTAAGCTGGAAATGGGCACAAGGACAAAGGGGCTAGGTCCCGAGAGCAGCATTTTCATGAATTCTTGCTGGAAAAGAATTACGTAACCACAAAGGCTTTTAAGAGCTGGGGAGAGGGTCGGGCTCAAGTTCTCTGCCTTGGGAAGGTTCCCAGAGCTAACTTTGGCCTCTTATCCAGAAGAAAGCAAGTTACAGCCTACGGCTCCCTCTCTCTTTCTTGAAGAAATTCTGGCTTTTAGAGCCTGGCTGAACTTGAATACTCTTGGTCATTCCAGGGTGACTCCAAAATATAAGACCAAGAAGCCCCAAAGGGAGAACCCCCCTCCCTGACTCTGCCCTCTTACCGCCTTTCCTGAGAGCCTATTCCAGGCCAGAAATTGAACTTTGGGAAGCAGAGTCACCATCTTATTTAACAGATGTGGAAACAGAGGTGCAGGGGAGGAGGGATGGCTGGGGGTGGTGATTAAAGTCACGGGGCTGAAGAGGTTTTGTCTCCAAAGCATGTGCTTTGCAGCCCCAAGTTTTGGCTACTGCAGCTGGCACACGGGGTTCTCTCCAGTGGGGGAAACATTCCAGGGTGGCTGATGCTTTCGCAGTGGAGGGACTAAAAACATTAGTTGTGTTTGCTTGTTTGTTTGAGGCAAAGGATTCTCTCAGCGGAGGGGTCCTAGCAAACTCAGCTGGCCTAAGGCTCAGCCCAGCCAGGCTGAGAACCTGCTGACTGGACAACAGGAGAGTGGGCACCGGTGTGACAGGGACTCCAGAAAGGAGCAGGGTGGTCAGCTCTCCAAACCATGGCTATCCGAGGTGACCGTCAGTGTGCCCAGCCTACGTGTGTAACAACAGCAAGAGAGCAATGGCCCCCAGGGACTGGTCAGAAATTTACACAGTCCTTATGGGCACTGTTACTCTGGTACCGTTCTCATCTCCAATTTGCAAGAAAGAAAAATCAAAACATATGCTCCTGAGTCATTTGCCAAGGTTAGGGGTGTGTGGGCGCCCTAGGTGACAGAGTTGGAAGCGCCTCCAAGCGTGACGCTTGAGGCCAGCCACTCCTTTGGGTACACCTCAAGTCTGCCATCTCTGTATGTTTGCAGTTTCTCTGGGCCCTAGATCCTCCTTTGTGACAGGGGTGTGACTTGTAGGGCTGGGAATGGACTGGGGTGTAATGTAAATAACTCAGCTTGGTGGGCTGGCATCCGGTGACAGCTGTAAGTAGCAGTTGTTGGAACTTGGAGCAGGTTCTGTTCTGAGTAATCCCTCTTTTTCACCTAAAGCCTCGACATTACTCTTTGGTACAGATGCGGGGTGGGTGGTGGTGGCTGTGCACGCAAGTGGTAGCCAAGACGGCATTATGCTCTGTGCAGCAGCTGGTTCAACACCTGGTACTCAAGGTGCATGGTACCACGACCCCGACATGTCCTGTCCTAATCTACAGAGCCGGTGGGCATGATGGGAGAGTCCATGCCTTACATTATTCTGGATCAGCCTGGAAGCCACATGAACCCTGTGTAAGCAGACAGTGTTCTCTGTTAGAGGTGAGAAGGATCTGAAGTGTCAGAAACTTTTCTCTGCCCCATCACCAGCTCCCTATGTTGAAGAATGCAGGCAGCTTCCAGACACTGCAGGGCCCCAGCTGATAGCCATCAAGTAGACTGAAGGGAACTGATTCCACCACAATGTGAATGAGGTTGGACAGGAGTTCTTCTCTGCAACCTCCAGGTAGGAGGCTTAGCCTGACTAACACCTTGACTTTGGCCTTGTGAGGGTAGACAGGGAACCCAGCTGAGCTCACCAAGGCTTCTGATCCACAGAACTTGAGGCAATAATGGCTTCTGTGTTGTGCTGTTAAACTGTTAGTAACTTGTGACACCGGAATAGAAAACAAACAGTGGTTATAACTAACGACCAGCTGCTGACTGTGAAAACCCCAAGCTCAGGCTCCCACTTGAGAGCTGGGAGAAGCTGAACACCCCAGAGGTCAGGATCCCGCCCAGGGTCACACAGCTAGTAAACAGCAGCCTCTAACTCCAGTGTCCATTCTAAGCCACTAATTCTGCCGTTGGCTGAGAATTGTCAGTGGTGCTATGCTGGTTAGTTTTTGTCAACTAAATACAAACTGGAGTCATTCAGAAGAGAGACCTCAATTGAAGAATTGCCTCCATCAGAGTGGTGGTGGTGTGTGTGCCATGTTATTAATTGCTAATTGTGAAAGGGCTCAGCCCACTGTGCACAGTGCCACCCTCTGGGCAGGTGGTCCTGGGCTATGTAAGAAAGCAGGCTGAGCAAGCCATGGCCAGCGAGTGAGCCGGCAAGCAGCTTCCTCCATGGGGTCAGCTTGGGTTCTTGCTTTACCTTCCCCTATGAGGGTCAGTGACTGAGAAGCGTAAGATGAAATAAACCCCTTCCTCCCCAAGTTGCTTTTCCATGGTGGTGTTTATCACAGCAGCAGAAACTAGGAGAGAAATACTGTCCTGCCCTCCCCCAAAAGCCCCCACCCTGAAGGGGGTTGAGCTCATGTGCTCAATCCAGAGCTGCTGTTCAGTGCCACGCTTGCCCTGTCCGAGAGTGTACATCTTACCCACCTGGCAGAAATGGGATAATCCTCTGCTTGGGATCCTTCTGTCCCCCTTCCATGGGGAACTTGTCCAACATCTGCATCTAAACGGAGAAGGAATAAAAGCAAAAGCCTTTCACAATACAAAATGCACATTACCTGAAATCTGAAAGGGATATATGAGATTTGTGGTTTGACATATTAGAAGTTCATTTTGTCCCGCTTTTCGGAAGCCTGAGGCAATGGGGATGGGGTCGGATCTGAGGCCCATTCGAAAGCGACTGTTTATATCCACAGCTTCCAAACTGTGAAAGCTCAGTGTTGCAAGAGACTGTTGTTAGTTGGTTTTTAAAAGATTTATTTTAAATTATGTGTGTGTGTGCACCTGTATGACATGATGCAGGTGTCCTCAGAGGCCAGGAATGTCAGGGCCCCTGGAGCTCTTGTGGGTCACCTGATGAGGGTGTTAGAAACCAAACTTGGGTCCTCTGCAAGCAAGGGCCATACAGACTCAGCCACAGAACTGTCTCCCCGGGCCACCATTCTTGGTTCTCCTAGAGAGTTTAAGCCATGGGACTTGAAATGTGAACAACAGCCTAGGACCTTCTGTTTCACAAACATCAGGTCGCCCCGCACTCTGAGAAGTGACAGGCGTGTTAAAAGGCCCTTCACCTAGTTAAGTCTATGCTTAGGAGGACATTTATTCCTGACCCACTCCAAAACTCCCAACCTGCTCAGCAGAGCCCAGTGCCTGGTTCTATGCTGCATGCATGAGCCAGCCACGAAGACATGCAGTCTCTGCAAGAGCCTGGAAAATAAGCTTGTGATTGTGAGGTATTATACCAGATACCATGCAAGAGGCAGGGGTGGAGGACGGAGCTGGGGGCAGACCACAGCCGGTGAAAACCTGTCTCCGAAGTCTTAGAAAATGAAAGTGAAGCTGTATGTGCTGGCGGCACCCAGAAACAGGTGGATCCCAGCTCAAGGCCCCTCTGGTTTATATAACGAGTTCCAGGCCAGCCAGGGCTACATAGTGAGACCTTGTAAAAATTGAGATTTAGAAAAAGAAAGAACCTAATGTGAAATCTCTGGCTTGATACTCGATCGAAGTCACCAGGATCTGTCACTTAACTCCTGTGTGTTCTGGTGTAACTTTAAGGACCTTCTCTTTTGGTCCCCATAATGACAACATACTGTAGCATTGCACTAAGTTAAAGCTGGGCTGGGGATGTTACCAAAGCTGTCTGCAGGTAGCTCCCGTGTTTCTGAACGCAGGTTTGAACTGTCCTTTCCCATCCCTCGGAAATAGACCGCATCTAGTGATGTGTCTAACCTGTGTTAATTCAGGGTGGAGGCTTGCAGCTGGATCATGGTGTTGTCGATTTCCCTCTCTCTCGTGAAGGACTTACTCCCTGACAGTGACTTCTCTGGTCCTGGTGGGAGGGCGCAGAGCCTGCACAACCCCACCCATGGTCCAGCCCATGGCCTGGTTGCCCGTGGGTGATGCAAGCTGCTCTGCTGCCTGGTTTGTGTGTGTGTTTTGTGTGTTTTGTTGACAGGGTCTCACTGCGTAGCTTTAGCTAATCTGGAGCTAACTATATGAAGCAGGCTGGCCTCAGTTTCACAGAGATCTGTTTGCCTCTGCCTCCTGGGTGCTAGGATTAAAGGTGTGCGCTGCCATCACCACCCCTGTCTCAATACTGTCTCACCCCACCTCTCTCTCATTCTCTGCCTCTCTGTGTCTCTGTCTCTCTCTCCCTGTCTCTCTCTCAGTGATGACAGGGATTGAACCTAGGGCCTCCCCATATGCTAAGCTAGCACTCTGCCACCAAGCCACCTCTGGAACCCCGAGGTTACTTGTTACAGTAACATATCCCTATCTATGCTAATTTACATGTAGCTAGGAAGCCACAGCAGATGGAAAGGAGTCCTGAGCCTTCCAAAAATGGCCGCACAGTGAGAAGCGCTCCTTGCCCCCCCCCCATGTGCTTCAGGGAGAACCTCACCCTGAGTCCCCAGACTGTCTCTCTAACAGAAGGAAAGAAGTTTGGGTAAGTCCAGGAGGAGTGAGGCTCCAGGGGGCCAGTAAGCACAGGAGCAGAGGAGGAGGTGTGCCCATGGAATCAAGCACTGCATCTCAGCAGGGGTACTTTGTCATTGCAAGACCTCACATCTGCAGGAATGGAAGACACCGACAAGGCAGGGGCACATGTGGTAGGCCGGATGGGGCTTCTGGCTTCTTCTGTGCTAGTTTATACAATGCCCTGGGGAGTGGGCCAGCTTCCGTGTGGTTGGGCTTGCAGGGCAGCTGAGGTATGCAAGCTTCCAGAAGGCTGGGGAAGAGGCTTTATTCATGGATTTATTATTATTATTATTATTATTATTATTATTATTATTATTATCATCATCATCATCATCATCATCATGATGTGCAGTGCCAGGGATATAACCAAGGGCCTTGCACACATTAGGTAAGAGATCTACTACTGTAGCCACTGGGCCACCCTGGGTTCAGTTATCCATGGCATTATTTGTGGCTGTCCATCATTGGCCCCTACTCCATCCTGCATGGGGACAGTAATCCTTGGTCCTCTGTCCTCCCCTGACTGCCGAGGCTACTGTGGGCCTCCTTGGAAAGATGGATTTATTTCTGAAGAGTGCTTCTATGCCAGCACACAGCAGGCTTTCAATTAAAACTGGCAAAATGGATGCTCACAGTGGGAGAGGCTGGGAAACTGTGGGTGGTACCCAAGACTGTTCTGGACTCTCTAAGATATTTTATGGTGAGGCTAAAACTACCCCCAAATACAGAAGTTTAACGAAAAAAGAATCAATGAATTCAGCAGAGAGAACTTTCCCCTCCTCTGGGAGATCACTTCAAGGGATAGTTAAATAACGCTAATGAAAGCAGTTATATTACTAATATCTAAAAAAATAATAATAGCTGTATACAGCAGCTGACAGTCAGCAGTCTTCTCATTCAGTTTCATCTGTCATTACAGTAACTCTGTGAAACAGACGTTACAAATTCCAAGTCTCAGGTGAGGCAACTTGGTTGCAGAGAGGGAAAGGAACTTGCCTTAGCCACATAGCAAAGCAGTGGCAGGACCAAACACCTTTGTCTAAACACATTCTCCTGATGTTGGCGCTAGCTGGCTTCAGGGGTACATAGATGTAGAAAACCAGCCTGAGCCAAGGTAAGCTTAATATTCTGGGCACATACGAACCTTCCCTCTCCAGAAGCAATCCATCAGCCTTAGCTGCAGAGGCTCTGAAATTTATGTTTGCCTAACGCTATCTCCTTTTCCCTTCTCAATATTAAGCCGGTTGAGACACCACCGAGGGGCAGCATGGTGTAAAGAATGCACAGTAACAAGGCTACTTCTGTTCTCTCGGTGCTTTTCGAGGCCCTCTCTGGATGTCCACACTGGCTAATAAGTGTCCACGCTGGCTATCCAGTATCCAGCCAGTATCCACTGGCTAATGAAAGTTTACATTGGCTAACAAATGTCCTCACTGGCTTATTCACAGCCGATCTAACCTAAGATAAGTTCCCCTAGGTGCAGACAGCTCCACCAGAGGCATCCACGCAGCCTGTGTGGCCATCTGGGGGATGAGAGGCATTCTGCAGGGGCTGTGAGTAATGCTACTTTGAAACTGATTTGGGAGTAACGTAGTAGTCAACTTTGTTGTTTTAAAACTGTGACACACACACACACACACACACACTATACAACACATCTTTCAATCACATCTGGGTGCACAGTTCCATCGTCTCCTTATGCACACTCACTCTGCGGGGAGCCATCTCCTCCACCATCTCCAGAGCTTTGCATCTGCTCATGTGTCAGAGCACCAAACAGCTCTTCATCCACCCACTCTGGCAAATCTACCTTCTGATCCAGTTGATTACACTGGGCACCTTGCACAGGTGGAGTGAAACATCTGTCCTTTTCTCTCTGGCTTTACTCAGTGCAATCGAGGTTCAATCCTATTACAGCCAGTATCAAATTGTTTTGGTTTGTTTTTTTGTTTGACACGGTGTCTCTGTGTAGCTCCGGTGACAGCTGTGACCCTCCTCCAGGGGGACACACTGAACCTGAGGGATTCAGAGTACAAAGGCTGCACAACAGAGTGTGAGGTGGACCTGTGTCTGAGGTGTTTGTATATATATATTTGTGTGTGTGTGTGTGTGTGTGTGTGTGTGTGTGTGTATACTTTTTTTTTTGTAAAGGACTCTGGCGGAGCTCAAGCCATAGGGAGAAGATGTGGCCATGAATCCACATCTGACTCCTGAGGGCAAGTTCAATCTTTCGAGACACACCCAAAGGTAGTCCTGGGCCCCAGGGAGGCATTGGTTGGATCCCTGCTGTTTGGGGCACATGACTGCCTTTCTAAACTTGAGTGTATCCACTTGTGAAGTGGCCATGCTAGTATTAAGATGAGCGAGATAGCACTGAAGAAAGGCACCTCCCCTCTCTGGCAAAGAGTAGTTGACGTTAACACACTGCTCGGCTGGGTGCTGCCCGGAGCACTGTATGTGTCCCCGTTACTCATCCCCAGAGCCGTGCTTGAATGTCCATTTTCTCCATGACATCCCGATCAACTCTATAGTACTGGCTCTGGCGAGGGTAGAAACTGAGGCTCAGGGAGGCTGAGTGACCTGTCCAAGGCTTGGGACCTCACACCAGGTGTTCCTACTCCAAGCTCAGGGCTCTTTTCTGTCCCCTCCGGCCTCAGGTGAACAAGACACATGACCAGACGTCAAGTCATAGTGGCAGACACCACCAACTTTTTTAAGAAGTCAGGAAGGTGAGTCCTCATTATGGGACTTTTGTGGTTGTTGTTATTGAGACAGGGTTTCTCTGTGTAGCCCTGGCTGCCCTTGAACTTACTCTGTTGACCCAGCTAGCCTTGAACTCAAGCGAGAGCTGCCTGCCTCTGCCTCCCAGAGGGCTGAAATTACAGGCGTGCCTCACCACACCCAGCTTATGAGGACATTTTTGCTGGTAACAAAATGTCCTTCTCCAGGAAGCATCCTGGACCATACTCCTACTACCTTGAGTGGCCTCTTTTTACACTGTTGCCTCTGTTTAAATAACCCACACTACCTCATGGGATGCCCATGGTTCTGGCTTCCTTGATGCCCTCTAGAAAACCTAGCAGCTGGTATCCAGGCACAAGAGCTAGATGTTGATTCTGTTTTCTGTCCAGGTGCTGGCCTTGAACACCTCATCCTATGGCCCAAGATGAGCTTAGGTCACAGGGGACATTCTCTTTTCCCCTGAGTCTGTCAGTCACCCTACCAGCCAGCACCGATGTCATATTCAGCAGCCTAGGGCTGTTCTTAGAGTCAACACTTAAAAAAAAAAATGTAGCCAGGCATGGTGGTGGCACAGGCCTATATTCCCAGCACTTAGGGAGGCAGAGGCAGGCAGATCCCTGTGAGTTTGAGGCCAGCCTGGGCTACATATTGAGTTTAGGAGAGCCAAGGCTACACAGAGAAATCCTGTCTCGAAAACAAACAAACAAACAAACAAACAAACAAACAAACAAACAAACAGCTATTCCTCTCATACCATAAGCACATCCTGGGTCTGTCCTGATGTGCTGGACACAGCCTGGAGCAGTAGCTGCTGCCACGTACCTCACCATGGGGCCCAGGCACAGTAGAAAGAGAGAAGTCCTTGCCATGGCAGCCATGGACCCAGCTGCATCCAAGCCAAAAGTCCTTGGACTTCTCTGCTCCATTCAGATGAGGAACATGATCTAGGAGAAGCCAACCTAGCTGGGGTTCTATCTGCATTGTAACAGTCTGACAGAAACTGGACCTTGGGCCAGAAAGCGGTGAGAACTGGACTGGATCCCAGCTGTCAAATTCCAAAGTCTGGAACTTCAAGAAGCTGGTACCATGCCCTCCCTTTATCTTTCTGCGGATTCCAAACAGCCTGGATCTGTCAGTCATCCCACTAGCCAGCATCTACTTCATATTCAACAGCCCAGGGTTGTTCTTATAGTCTCCACATACCACAAAATCCATCCTTTAAGATGTACCAGTCAGCAGTTTTCTGTTTATTTACACAGTATGCAGTCATGACCACTAATTCTAAAACATTTTAATCACCCCCCCCAAAGATACCCAATACCTACAACCAGTGTCTGCCCACTGTCCCCTTCCCTAAGCCCTCTGGGATTGTCCCTTCTAGACACAATGGCCATTTAACTTGTAGCTGGCAGGAAAAGCAGCAACATAGAGCAGAGTGGCTAAAAGCATGGACTTCTGCTATCACACAGCCTCGAATATGGGCATTGTTGTACTAGCTGTGTGACTTGGGCAAACGAGTGAACGGTCTCTGAGCCTCGGCTTTTTCATCTGTGTAATCTGATAAACCGGTTGTGATGATTAAATGGAAAGGACTGAGCCCAAGAGCAGAGCTTCAGAACTGCTGGCTGTTTTTAATGACATTAGCCCATGTCACCAATGAGACCGCTCAGACACAGAAGAGTAAAAGAGTGGGCCCGAGGCCACCCAGGAGCTCAGGTCTTCCGAGCTCTCTGCTTTTCTGTTATACCATACCAGCTCAAATACTCCTCCACCAAGCCCCACCCCCGTGAGCCAAGTCACTTCTAAATCAATCCATCAATCACTCAATCAGTCAAGGCCATGTATGTGCAAAATGGGACATGGAATCCTGAAATCATCCAACATTAGGGTGTCATGGCCCCATTCAAGCTAGTCTCCTGTCTAGTCCTTGGGGACAGCTAAGCTGAGTGGCCTTCTTCTCCTGCCCATGGATATGGGGGTGAGGAGGCTGTTTCTAGCTTGAGCCAGACCCCTGACATTACATGGCTTTCCCATCCTGCCACCACACCATCTGGGACTCCTTAGAATTGGATGAAGCCAGGCTTCTGGACAGCTTTGGCATGCCAGGGACTGCCACCAGAGGCAGTCCATTCTGTTCCAGCAAACCCAATCATTCCCACAATGAGCTGGGAAGAAAACCTGACTTAAGCTGGGGCAGAAGCGAGGTCAATAAGAACAGGGCCATAATGAGCACAGGATTTGGGCTGGGGAGACTTGTGACCTGGACCCAGCAAAGGAGGTCACCATGGGTGTCACACCTGTGGAGAGGGACAGATGACCATTAACACATTGAGCTAGCCGGGTCCATCTCACAAGGGAAGCACTTTCTTTCCCATTAAAGACAGAGGAGTATATGGAGGCTCAAAAATGTACTGAGGAAATCCCAGCTGAGACCTGAAAAGTAGCTGAGTCTTGAACTTGGGTTTGCCTTCAGCCTTACGCCAGGCTGGAAAAAGGAATTGAGGGAACAGTCTAGGCACACGCTTCAACACGCCAGCAACCAGACACATTCACCTTCACAGGGCTCCCTCCCACCCCCTCTCCTTGAGTCTCCTCCCCTAGGTGACACCCTCTGGGCCAGTGTCACCTGGTTCCCACCACAGCTGACAGGTGCTGACCTAACGGTGCTGACTTGAGAATAGACCCTTAGCAGCTTGGCCAATGGGCAAGCAAAGGAGGCTGGTCTAGAGAGGCGAGGTGGGTAGCAGGGTCCTGAGGCCACAAGACAGATGGTCAGGAGCTGCCATCGGACACTGGGCCCTTTCAAGGCTGTAGTCGTGTTTACTCTGGGTTCCAGCAACATTCTGCTCTGCCGGTGACTCCAAGCTACTCCTCTCTTCACGCGGCAACTAGCTGAGTGGGCTCTGCTCTGCAGACGTAAATAACCCCGGGATGACAATCATATCATTCTCGTTCTTTAGCCCCACTACTCCCTGTTGGAGGTGCCAGGCTGGCAAGAAGCCCCTGAACACACGCCAAGGCAGAGCTCCCAAGGTAGACGCCACGGCCTAGAACAGCAACCTGGCGATGGGCAACAGCTGCACGTCGCCTGCGTCATCACTCGCCTGTGTGAAAGGGCAGAGCAGCCCTGGATGCTATTGGTCACTCTCACAGCGGGCTGCGTCGCATGCCTCCTTCCCCTCCGTGTTTCCTTCTCCCCTGCCTGCTCATTCTAAGTGGCCATTAGCTAATTTATTAAGGGGCTGGGATCAAACCCCAGGCCTTGCGTGTGCGAGCTGCACACTCTCCCGCTTTGCTGCTCCTCACCCCACAGCAAGTGCTGCGGATAGCCCCGCTGTTTATTTATATTCATTCAGCTCGTTTGCGGCAGAGCAGCAGAAAATGATAAGTGTATGTGACACTGGCAGATGGGGCTGCGTGCTGTTGAACACGAAGCACCACAGAGGAGCTCATTATGTTTTAAATAATTAAGTGACTGGCATCTCAATCTCTTTACAGGACGCAGTAACTCCTGGCTGTGTGTCATGAAGGCACCAGGGACTGTTTTAGCTACACTAAATACGATAGGTTAGGAGCCTATTGCTGTCTGCCCTCCTCCTTTACAGTAGAGGGATACAGGTGCTGGACGGTCTCCAGTCCACACGGTCAGGAAGGGCTTGGGTCTATGGAGTCAAGGATGCCTGCAGTTAATATTACTCAGTCCCTCTGAGAACCTGAGATTCTCCTTCCCAAGCCAGGCATACCCTTGATGCCATGGGTGGAACAGCAACCCAGGAAAACCTATTAGCGGTCCCAGTGATTGGCATAGAGCTAAGCCTATGGCATGCAAAGTGCTAGCCAGGACAATATGAGAAGTTGTGGTGGTTTGAAGAGGTTTGGTCCCCATTGACTCACACGTTTGAAAGCCGGCCCACAGGGAGTGGCACTGTTAGGAGGTGTGGCCTTATTGAAGTAGGTGTGGCTTTGTTGGAGGAAGTGTGTCACTTTGAGGGCGGGCTCTGAGGCCTCACCCTATGCCCAGTGTGGCTCACTGGTGTGTCTCCTTCTCCTGCCTGTGGATCAAGATGTGGAACTCTCAGCCCCTTCTCCAGCACCTTGTCTGCCTGGGTGCTGCCATGCTTCCCTCCATGACGAGAACAGACTAAACCTCTGAGACTGTAAGCCAGCCCCAATGAAATGTTTTGTTTGTGTGTGTGTGTGTGTTTTTTTTTTTTTTTTTATAAGAGTTACTACCATGGTCATGGTGGCTCTTCACAGCAATAAAGCCCAAACTAAGATAGAATTCACTGTTACTATTTCCTACAGAGTGTGAGCTGTGACAGTCTAGAAAAGACAGATAAGCTGACAGCAACAAAAGAGAGAAGCTCATGGCACTGGGTGATGATGGCTCTTGATGAGCAGAGAACAAAGTCCAACAAGGCTTCTGGGAGCTGGGAGCCGGAAGCCATGGCAGCAGAGTTATCCAGGCCGAGTCTGGTAGGAGAGCAGAGTAACGGCCCAGGCGAGGGTCAGTAGACGCTGGGAAGGGGCTGGGGAGGGGGGGGTAGTGCATGCCAGGTCTTCAGACAGACTCAGGATCCTGGATCACCACGCGGTCACTGTACCAAACTTGGTTCAACACGGTTCCAGAGCCACACGTGGCCTCCAGGCTGGCTCCCACCACAAATGCCTACCTGAAGGTCAAAGAACTTGCTGTAGCGCCTGTAGATGGCCTCTGTGGTGCCACTGGACCACGTGACTCGGATGATGTAGACCTGTGGAGAGACGGAGGAGACAAGTGTTAACTACAAGGGGATGACATGGTTGGCATCTATCTTCTTCCGGTCCACGGACCAGGAATTTCATTCCCATGGAGCAGGGCAGGTAGACAAACTTTTGAGAGGTCACAAAAAGGTTAAGGGCATTAGCTTGGGGTGGGTTCATGATGCTCAGTGGGTTTGTTAGAAAAGTGAGTTTAGTCCACCTATCCTCTCTCCTGCTCTCTCATCCATCTTCCATCTTCAGCCACGAGTTAAGCATCCCAAAGGCCCCTTGATCATACACTTCCAGCTTCTAAGAACTAAACATCTATTCTTTACCAATTACTCACCTGTGCCATCCTATTACAACAACACAAAGCAGACTAAGAAAGTCCTTCATCCCTGAGACTGAGGAGCTTGAGCCAAAAACACCCCCTCCTGTTTCAATCTCAGTTTGGCCAAGGACCAGCTGGACCAGTTAGCCCCTTGCTGTCTCTGAGCTGTAGCTCTCTCCTGCTTCAATAGAAGGGGAATAATAGACCTTGTCTGTAGAACTGTCTCAGAGACGGTACAGGGTCAAATCGGGGAAGCTGCTACTCCCAGCACCGTAAGGATGCCTGTCTGCTCCCCATCTGACTTTCCCGTCAGAGTAATTCTTAAAATCTTCATGTTCATCAAGAGATGTCAGGGTGCTTGAGCTCTTTTTTTTTTTTTTTTTTTTTTTAAGATTTATTTATTTACTATGTATACAACGTTCTGCCTACATCTATGCCTGCACACCAGAAGAAGGCACCAGACCTCATTTTAGATGGTTGTGAGCCACCATGTGGTTGCTAGGAATTGAACTCAGGACCTCTGGAAGAGCAGCCAGTGCTCCTAACCTCTGAGTCATCTCTCCAGCCTGCACCTGAACTCTTAACCTCTTTTACAGCCCGATGCTGAGCCATCCTGAAGTTTCCTCCAGTGGGGACTCAGGCTAAATCAGATGTTCCCTTGCGTCTCAGCTTCTCTGTGAACTGGGCTAACAGCACCTGCTTCCCAGGCTATGTGAGGGTCTGACAAAATCAAGGTCATAAATCCTCTTAGCAACCAGAGGACATGTGACCTTGACCTATGCCACAGGAAACAATACACTGATAACAAGCCTGGGGAAACTGAGGTTTCTGCTGGCAGGAGGGCATATAAGCCCCTGCTGGTTTTAGCCAGCGATGATTACCACAGCACCCTGACTTTTCTCCAGAATGCCTCCTTCTCCATCTTGCTCAGCCCCTTAGAAACAGAGGAGGCACTACCTATGGTGACTTGGAAGGGTTGACAGGTGACCTGAGCTGGGCCAATCAGGGTCAGTAAGAGTCAGCCCTGGGACATGAGCGCCAACTCTTCCTATGAGGAGACCTCAAGGATACAATCTGACCATATTTATTTCAGCTCGAGGCTAAGTCTACAGACACCTGATTTCTGGACTAATAATTACCATTTGGCCCACAGAGAGCTCTGCATAATTACAATAAATTTGTATAATTATAATAAAAATTGCTTAATTATCATTTTTCCTTGTGCATATTAATGGGGCATGGTATGATAATCTGAGGTATGCATACCATGTGTAGTGATAAAGTCCAAGCATGTGTGATAGATGGTTAAGATATATGTTAGACATATTTTATGATATGTCACACGTGTATATGCATACATACATATACACATATACACACACAGATAGTGCTGGGATTGAAAACTGAAGAAGTTAAATCTGAAGGAAACTACAGAACTCAGCTAAGCTACTAACTCTATCTTCTAGTTGGGTAAATTGAGGCCTAGAAAGTGAAAACATGCTATCAAAGGCCCCTGATCCTGGAGATGCCCAAGCAAAGTTTGGCTGGCTGCTAAAGACACGACCAATGAAGATCAAAAGAAAAAGAAATATTAAGAAAGACTGCCAAATACTTTGTTTTCTTAAAATCTAACTTCTTTGTGGGAATGAGCCCCTGACCAAATCCGACATGGCGCTTGCAGGCAGAGGCACATGCTCAGGCCTGAGGGCTCAGGGTTGGAAGATGGCACACACCAGCTCTGCTGCTGTGGGAAGGTGCTGGCCTCCTCGGCCGTGGTACCTTTCCCTGTGGAGTGGAGACAGCAGCCTCCTTGAGGATCAAGCATGACAACGAACGGATATGGGCCTTGTCTGCTCCTGGTACACAGCAGGAGTGCTTAGCTAGCTTCTCCCACGCTGCAGCCATCCATGCTCCTGTCTGGTACTCTTCCCTTCTTCTGGCTTCAGTGCCAATTTCTCTTGGAGAATTACCTCTTTCCTTTCTCTCTGTTTTGCTAGGGGGAGGCATATTTCCCACATCTGGTCGGTACTGCCTGGCCCAGGCCACAAAAGGGGATTTGCACCTGGCCTGAGCCACGCTGACAGGATTCAGGATCTCCAGTAGCATCATAAGATTCCCCTCCCCAGTTACGTGGTGGTGGTGGCTGCAGCGGCAGCGCATGCCTTTAATCTCAGCACTTGGAAGGCAGAGGCAGGCGAACCTCTAACTTTAAGGCCAGCCTAGTCTACCAAGAAAGTTCCAGGATAGCTAGGACTACACAGAAAAACCCTGTTTTGAACACTCCCTCCACACCCACACACAAAAAAAGATTAGTTTCCCCCTGAAATGTCCTGGGGGGAGAACACCATGCAAAGAATGAGTCCATGACAAGCATTTGCTGCATGGAAGAAAGCTGAAAAACAACATCTATGTGGGATGCATTTTCAAAAAAACCTCAAAAGCCATGAGCAGAAACAAACTAACTCAGTTACAAGAGACATGTAAAAGACCCACTCAGACATGTTACTGGAGTGAATAGACGGATGGCAAGAAAGCCAGTGACAGGACGGCCATGCCACCAGCCACTGGAGAAAAGCAGACAAAACATTGATGGGAAAGCATGCTACCGCTTGGCGAGTGTCCTCACAAGGACCATGTGTTACAGGCCTGGTCACCAGCTTGTGAGGAAACCATCAGTAGGCGGAGACCAGAAGGAAGAAGCTATGTTGGTGGGGGCATGCCCTTGAAGTGCATGCTGGGACCCCATCTCTTCGATTCATAGCCAACATGCTGTGCCATACCCTCCCACCACGGTATATGTTGTCAGCACAGAGCCAAACACAAAGGAGAGAACCACCCTTGACCTCTGAAAATGTGAGCCAAAGTGAGCTCTCCCTTCTTGTACGTTGTTTATCTCCAGCATTTTGTCATAGTAACAGAGAGCAAACCCCAACTGTGAATCTATTAGCGTGGATGAATTGAAAAATACTGTTCAGTACTTCCAGGTGCTGCCTGTACTGCTATCACCTGGAAGTGGAAGCAGGAAGATTAGGGGTTCAAAGCCAGCCTGAGTGACGTAGTGAGACCCTGTCCTAATTGTCACCATGTTAGCTTTCCAGTCACTGTGACAGAATGCCTGATACAAACAACTTAAAAGGAGAGACTAGACTCACTATTTTGGAGGTGTCAGCCTTCCATAGATGGAGGGCATGGTGGACCAAAGCAGCTCCCACAGTGGTGGCAGGAAGTGGAGAAAAGGAAAAACAGGAAGGGTTCAAGGCAAGATACAGCCTCTGAGGCACACAGATGACAGCCTACTTCTGAGTAGGCCCGACTCAGGCTAGCACGGCACTATAAATCACTAACAAAAAAGCTCAAAAATGTAAAAGAGGTGGAAGAAGGACACTTGTTCTAGACACAAGAGCAGAAACAAGAGGGCTAAATGCCACTGTGCTCAACCTTAGCTGAGACTGTCAGTTGAGAATATTCCCGGATGATGTAGATCTTGACTCTCACTTGGGCCACGGATAAATGTCACCAAGTATACAAGATCATAAATATAGATAAGGACAGACCTACACAGAGATGTGTATTCACGTAAAGATACACACCGGTAGTTACTACTCTGGGCTCAAATGAGTATGGGATTTTTTTAAAAAGCTCTGTTCTTAACGCTTTCTTATATTTCCAGATGTTTTTATCCTGTACAAATACTCCTCAATTTATGATGATAGAACACATTAAGCAGAAAATGTACTGACTCCACCTGACCTTCTGGACATTCCCACTCGGCCACACAGCCCACTGTGTGGTGTCAGCTGTTCCCGTCTGTCCTGTGACTGGCCAGCACCTGTTGGCTTCATAATGCTGCAGCATCCAGAGAGTATGTGACTGAACAGCATTGGCCTTAGCAAACAACCGAACTCAAAACCAGAGTGTGCATTAAAGTCACAAGTTGAACTGCTACCATTCAGGGGCTTCTGTATGTCCAATGAGAAAATGGTATGTCAGTCCCTGAAAAGACTGAAAATCACTTTCTGTTTTGAGCCCTTGGCTAGCATCTTCTCACTTGGTCCCCATGGAAACTGTATACAGGTATGGCCAGTGCCACAGGGATGCCAAGTATCCCTGTGTAGGGATGGCAGGTTCTAGCGCTCACCTCAACTAGATCTGGCTGTGCAATCTGCATTCAGGACTTAGTGTGTGAGGTAGGCTGTGACATCTGTCTCTGGGAAACTTTGTGCTCTCTGCAAAACAGGCTGAGGCTGCTGGTCTTTCTTACCTCCCCAGCTGATGGAAAGTTCCAGGAATGGAACACTTGCTAAATAAAATCTCAGCTCAGGGATGGAGTTTGCAGGAAATGTTCTCTGAATGTTGTTTAATCCTTTACCCTTACCACCGCTGGCAAATCTACCCCTGGACTGTGAGCCCCAAGTCCTTGCAAGGCCCCCACAGCACATGTAGCAACCTAGGCCCACTTCCAATGTCAATAACCAAAGGGTTTGTTCTTCCAAGAATAAAGTCTGAAGCCAGAATCCAGCTTATAGCCCCTTGGGAAATTGGAGCTGGGCCCTAGTAAATGCAGGCAGTAGGACAGAGATAGTCAAGCCATCTCCTGTGGGACCCTAGAGTTCCAGGGCAATCAAGGCACACGCCTCATTCCTGTTCACCTACTAGCTTAGGGTCCAGCACCTGGTGGCA